AACACGTTTCCATTAAGTTACCCGGCTCAGCCAGCCCTGAGGCCTCGGTAAACACACACACACACACACACACACACACACACACACCCCCTTTCCACCCTGTAAAGTGGGCTTATGACAGTCTCTATGCCTGTCAGATCACAGCTATCCTCATCAAATGTCAGCTGGACACATACCCCAGGGGTATGGATTGATCACCTGGACAAAGAGCTGCTGTAGGCGTTTGGGGCTGCTGCTCCTTTTTCTTCTGCTCGTCCCTCACCCCCCTTCAGGGTCTCACTGCCTCTATGTGGAAACCTCCAGCACTGCAAATAGGGGAATAGTCAATACAACACATTGGTGTAGACAATGAGAAAGCAAAAAGACCCTAAGGCTAATCGTTGTGGCTTCCAATTTACAACTGAAAGAGGACTTAATCAGGCTGCTAGACATACAAGAAGGGAATTTTTTTTTTTTTAGGCTATAACTTGAAATGAAATTGTTTAAGAAATTGAGTTTTAGCGCTGAAACATAATTTCTTCCATGTTATTTAACTTCTTCATCTGAACAAATTTTCTCAACATTTACATCAGTAAATATGAAACAATATAATAGAATTAATACTGAATCCCATCTCGTTCTAGCAAAAAGTAACAGATGGCCATAGATACCTGAATTAAGTGGGATTAAAAAATGAACCTATCTCATGAATATTTGTTTTTGATAAAATTTTACATTTTTAGCCCTGCCTGATGTGGCTCAGTGGACTGAGTGCCAGCCTGTGAACGGAAAGGTGACTGGTTCAATTCCCAGTCAGGGCACGTGCCTGGGTTGCAGGCCAGGTCTGCAGTTAGGGGCATGTGAGAGGCAACCAATCCATGTATCTCTCACATATCCATGTTTTTCTCCCTCTCTTTATCCCTCCTTTCCCCTCTCTCTAAAAATAAATAAATAAAATATTTTAAAAAATTTTTACATTTAATAATTATTCTTCAAACTATAGATTTATGATTTTTCTTAATTGTGTATTAATTCATCTAATGATATGCCAATTAAAAGAAAAACCTGACACTGAGAGGCTTATGTTCACAGAAAACAGATTTCAATTCAAGTATATAATTTTGTTGCTGAGAGGCATATTGGGGTAATCAGTAATCATTCAAACATAAAATACATATTACATAAAAATGAAATTCTGTAGGGGGAAGTAGACTAGAAATATGGGTTGGGGGAATAAATGTAAACTTAACAAGCGTTCAAGAGGAGCTAATTCACATATATTTAAACTTTTTAAAAATGGTTTTTAGAGAGAGAGAAACGTCAATTTGTTGTTCCACTTTATTTATGCATTCATTGCTTGATTCTTTATGTGCCTTGACTGGGGATTAAACCCCGTAACCTTGGCATATTGAGACATCACTCTAACCAACTGAACTACTTGACCAGGGCTACTTCATTGTATTTAAAATAGGCTCTGGCTTCTATGAAATCCATGGTATATTTTGATTTTATTGGACACATGTTAAAAATCATATATGCAGTTTTAAAAACAAATCAGCATATGTAATGTATTGGAAATTGCCTCCTCTGTAACTGAATTTATAATGAGAAAGTTATCAACTGAACATCATGCAAGGAAGTGCATAGACATTTTTCCAAATTATTTTAAGGGGTGTAAAGGGGGGAACACTTTTGAGTACAGCGCTGCTGGGGATGAGAGGCCAGCGCAGTGGTCTGACTCAGGATGGAATCCTGCTTCGTGTTCCGGCAGTTTGAACTGGGCAGGTCACTTTGAGTTTGGCATCTGTAAATGAAGGGCTCTCATAACACAGGAGGGCGAGCCCGGAGACCTTGGCCGCTTGTTCCATGAGCTGAAAACCCCACAAGGAGGACTGACTGGAGCAGACACAGCCTTTATTATGCACATTACAGGCAGGTCGGAGAAGCAGGACCGTGCCTCCGGGTCCTAGACAAAGGAGGCACATGTCCTACATGTGACTCTAAACTACGTTATCTCAGTGTGTACGTGCAGAAAGAAAAGGTCAAGAAGCAGTCACAGGACAGGAAGCTACCTTCAAAAGGGGATAAGGAAGGAGTTACAATACATTTCCAAAACAACACATTCCTTCTGGCCAGGGGCCCTCTGGCCAGCCTTCCATCACCGGTGATGAAGAGACGCATCCAGCATGACACTATGGTGACCATTTCAGGTTTTTCTGAGAGTAAATGAGCCCAGAGGAAGAAGTGTCTTCTTCCCCCAATAAGGAGGGGAGGAGCAGTTGAGGAAGGAAATAGATATCAGGTTCAGGTAGAGATGGGCACCTTTGACCTGACTGAAGAAGGCAAGGAAGGGATCCCCATTACAAAACAGGAGCCTGGCTCCCTCAACTATGTTAAAATTACACTGAAAATATAGGACCACAATCATTCAGAACCGCCTGAGAACTGGCTGAATGGAAATCCTCCACCTAGAGAGTTAAAGAAGCCACACTGAGACTGGTAGGTGGGACAGAGACAAGGAAGTGGCTGGTCCCACACCCACAAGTGACAGATAAAAATTGGGAGGGATATCTTGGCTGCTGAAGTCCCCACAAAGGAGCGAGGGGCCGCAGCCCCACACCAGGCCCCCAGCCCAGGGTTCCAGTGCTAGGAAGGGAAGTTTCCATAACTTCAGCTGTAAAAACCAGCGGGACTTGAGGCTGAGGGAGACAGAAGATTTCTGGAGTTCCAGGCAGTTCCTCTTAACGGGCTGGTGCTCATACTTAATCAGACTCACTTGGTCTGAGTTCCAGCACCAGGAGAGCAGCTCGAAGGGCACCAGGGACACCTGGGGAGGAACTGAATTGTCTGCCATCAGGACCTGGCAGAGGCCATTGTTCCTTTGATGAGCTCTTACTCCAAGAAGCCGCCAGGTTGTCACCATATCGGATTCTCCGCCCCACCCAACTGTCAGGCCTCCCCAAGCTGTTTCCAGTGGCTCTTTCATAAGAGTGGCCTGTCTCCACTTCAGACTTTGCTAAAATCTCTCAAGCAAGCAGCATCTGGCCTCAGCGTGCCTGGTTCCTCTTGCTAAGTGGCCCCAGGCCCGGCACTGGCAGCAGCCAGCAGCCAGCTGTGGTGTGCAGCTTGGCCTCTCCTGGGCACCTCCGGGCTCAGCACAAATAGCAGCCACCTGCAGGTTGCTTTGTAGGTCCACAACGACATGGGGGGAGGGGGGTGCGCACCTGAAGCGCCCAGCTTGGGTGACTGGGGAGGCTGTGCCACTGGACCCTACAGGACACCTACGACATTAGGCCACTCTCCCAAGCCCAGGAGACGTAGCTGCTCTACCTAAGACTTTGAAACACAGTGCGTCTCCAGCCTCTGTTCTCCTCACATCCAGCCCAGGGACAAGCCAAAGGTGCTGGGGGATGGCATAGACCCCTCCACCCTGGGTCCCTCGGGTCACCAGGTAAGGCCAGGCCTGGGAGCTGGACGTCACTGTCCTGAGTGGGAGCCCAGACAGGGCCGCCCCTCACTGAAGCCTCCAGCTTGCCTCTTCTCTCTTTCATTTCTTCCTTTCCCTTGCCCGCCCCCCTTTTCTTCTTCCCAGTTCCTGCAGTTTAGCTCTTTTTAAAAAATTACTTAAATTTTTGAGTAAGAAATAGATTAACATAATTCAGCTATTTTTTCAACTATTTAAAGGTATACAGTGAAAAGCCTCCATCCCAGAAAAATTTCAAATTCCCAAATTGAGCTACGTTCCATAAAATACCTGACCTGTCCTCCTCAAAACTGTCAAGATCATCCAAACAAGGAAAACCTTAGGAGCTGTCGCAGCAGAGGGGACCCAGGGAGACATGGCCACATGTGATGTCAATCCTGGAGCAGGAAAGGACATTTGGGAAACACTAAGGAAATCTGGATCAGGATGGACCTCAGTCAATAACCTATCAGGGCTGGTTCGTTAATTGTAACAAAGGCACCACACTCACCTAAGATGTTAATAATAATCCCTTATTATTATTAAGCTGGAGGTGGGATTTATGGGAACTCTATCTTTGCAATTTCTCTGTAAATCTATGACTGTTAAAATAATAAAGTTTATTTTTAGAATGTCTTCATCCCACCCCTGAGCCCAAGTGTGCAATACCCACTCCCCTGCACATTCATCGTTGACCTTAGGCTCTTGCATACCCTTTCAGGGTTTAGTGCGCAAATACTAGCAAATGTGAATTCCTGCCCCCGACACCCCCTTACAGAAATGGTGGTACCGCTCCCTCCGCCCCCAGCTCTGCCCTGCTTTCCCCACCCGTTTGTATCAGGCTCAGAGACTCCACTGTTCTTGTTTACACCTGGAAAGATGACATTCTTGTGGTCAGTGCGCTGTGATGGACACGAGCTGTTTTTAAGTATTTGCAGTTCTGGCAGGGCTTCAGGGAATGACCGTGGCCATGATGAGTCTGTATGTATGAGAATAAAATTCTGTGGGGGGAAGCAGACTAGAAATATGAGTTTGGGGGAATAAATATACACTTCACAACTGTTCAAGAAGAGCTAATTCATGTATGTTTAAAATAGGTTATGGTTTGTATGGAATCCATGGGATATTTCAATTTCATTGGATGCATTTTAAAAATCATATATGCAGTTTTATTTTTTATTTAGCATATACAGTACATTGGAAATCGCATCCTTTGTAGCTTTAAATTTATGAGAAAGTTGAGATATCCACTGATCATCACGCCAGGAAGCGTGCAGACATTTTTCAAAATTATTTTAAGGGGTGTAAAAGTGAGGAAACACTTTGGGGAACTGCTGCTGGGGATGAGGGACCTAGAAGGGAACCCTGCCTCCCGTTACAGGTACCAGCGGTTGGAACTTGGGCAGGACCTCCCTGTCGCTGAGCTTGTGCATCTGTAAGCGAAGGGTAATCGTAATACCGCCCCCTTCAGGTCGTTCGGAGAGCAAACGAGCCCGGAAGAAGGAGTGCCTCCATCCGCCCCCCTCCCCTGCGCAGGAGGGGAGGAGCCATTGAAGAGGCCACCAGCAAGCGGGCTCGGGGGAGGAGGGGACCTTTGACCCGGCGGAGGAAGGCTGGGACGCGACCGCCGGCATAAAACGGGAGCCTGTCTCCCGGAGTCACAACAGAATTGCACGGGGACGGGAAGGTCCCTGTCGCTCAGAACCGCCAGAAATCTAGCGGAATGGAGATCCTGCAAGGAGAGGTTTAAAGAAGCAGCCACATCAGACTGGTAGGTGGGGCAGAGGCGAGGAATCGGCTGGCCCCACACCTTCGTGTGGTGGGTCAAAATTGGAGGGCTCTCTCGCTGCTGAGGTCCCCCCGGAGGAGAGAGGGGTCCCAGCCCCACACCAGGCCCGCAGCCCAGGGTTCTAGTGCCGGGAGGAGAAGGCTCCGTCACTTGCGGCTGTAAAAACCAGCGGGACTTGGGGCCGAGGAAGACAGAAAGGCTGCTCGAGTCGGGGGCTGTCGCGCTTAAAGAGCCGGCGCTCGGACTGAATCGGACTCACTTGCTCTGAGTTCCAGCACCGGGAGAGTAGCTCGAAGGGCACTAGGGACATTTGAGAAGGAACTGAATTGTCGGCCATCAGGAGGAGAGCTGGAGCAGGGTAGCTCTCTCCCGGACAAAAGTGCTGGCAGACGCCATTGTTCTTTGACGAGCCCTTCCTCCACGGAGCTGGCTGGCGGGCGCCATATCTGATTCTCCGCCCCACCCAATTTCAGGCCTCCCCAAGCTGTTTCCAGTGGCTCTTTCATAAGAGTGGCCTGTCTCTACTTCAGACTTTGCTAAAATCTCTCAAGCAGGCAGCATCTGGCCTCAGCGTGCCTGGTTCCTCTTGCTAAGTGGCCCCAGGCCCGGCACTGGCAGCAGCCAGCAGCCAGCTGTGGTGTGCAGCTTGGCCTCTCCTGGGCACCTCCGGGCTCAGCACAAATAGCAGCCACCTGCAGGGTGCTTTGTAGCACCAGCCGGACGCCCTTGGGCAGAACACAGGCAAGCAGCTGACCTTGGCCCGCACCTCCCCAGAGACCCCAGAGCCAGTGCACCTGGTGGACAGCCTCAGACCACGTCAAAGCACCCTGCAACCTCCTCCGCAGGACACGCTCAAGGGGTGAACTCAGTGGGCACCAGAGCCCTGCTGAAGTAAGTCCTGCTCTGCCGGCGGGCCCTGCACAGCTGGTCTTATTTGGTGGTCACAGGCAGTCCTTGCAGCCAGTCGCCTGGGGGTGAATCCTCCCCTTTGCTGTACCTACAGCAGTCAAGGCTCCACAACAGGAGGGTGTGCACAGCCCACACGAGGTGGGGGGTGCGCAACTGAAGAGCCCAGCTTGGGTGACTGAGGAGACTGTGCCACTGGACTCTACAGGACACCTACGACATTAGGCCACTCTCCCAAGTCCAGGAGACGTAGCAGCCCAACCTAAGACTTTGAAACAATCACAGAGCGGCTGCCAACTTGTAGAAACAAACATGACCGAGAGGAAAGAACAGAACATGGCTCCGGAAAAAGAACTCAGCATCATGGAGAGAAGAAGTCTACTAGATGCAGAGTTCAAAACACTGGTTATAAGTATGCTCAATGAACTTCGCGGAAGAGTGGATGAACTTCGCGAGAACTTCAACAGCATAAAAAAGGACATGGAAGCCATAAAGAAGACCCAGAACACGGGGGCCCCTGGTCAAGGCCTCGCCCCTGCTGTGCAACCTGGGGCACCGTCCTCGGAGGACGCGATGGCCCAAGAAGGGGTGAGTGGCTCTTCCCCAGGCCAGCTAGGGGCCTTGGCCCTCGGAGGGCAGCAGTCAGCTTCCAACAAGCTCCTGGCCTGGAACGGGGTCCTCGAGTGGCACAAGAAGCCCAAACCCGGCTATGTGGACCCCAGCACCAGGGTGATGCGGTCACTGCCTTGCCAAGTCTTCGTGAAGCACAGCGAGAACTTGAAAACAGAGCTGTGGCCCCAGAAGCTATACATGCATCTCTTTCCCCAGCAGCTGCTGGCCACGCTGGGCCCTGTGTTCCGGAACTCGAGGATGGTCCAGTTCCATTTCACCGAGAAGGACCTGGAGTGCCACCGAGACCTCTACCGTGTCTTGCGCAACGGCTTCGTGGGCTGCGTGCACTTCCCCCGCACGTCCCCCTGTGAAGTGCGCGTGCTTATGCTCCAGTACTCGTCCAAGAAGAGGATCTTCGTGGGCTTCATCCCCAATGATCAGAAGGCCTTCGTCACCGGTCTCCGCCAGGCCATCATCAACTACAAGCAGGTTCAGCAGCAGAAGCTGGAGCAGCAGAGCGGGATGGGGGCGTAGAAGGCACCCTGTCCTGCTCGGGGCTGGCGCCTATTCTGGAGGACCAGGCCAGGACCTCGCGGAATCTGCTCCAGCTCTGCCCCGCAGCAGCCTGAGCCTCAGGGTGCTGTGGCGGCCTCTGAGGTGACATGGCAACCCCAGCCCCCGGGTCCTGGTCAGGCACTGGCCAAAGCCCTCCTGGAGCTGCTCCTGAAACGCCCCCTCCCGGACCTATCCTGCTGCCCCAGAACCCTGGGGCCAGCCACCGCCTGCGGAGCTGCCTCTTCAGCCCCCTGCTGCCCCAGACCAGGGTGCCCCCACCGCAGGCCTCCCTCCGCCACCTCCAGCCACCTGGCTGCCCTTGCCGCACCTGGGCCTCCTCCATTTGGAGGGAGTCAGGGTGAGTGCGTTCCAGACCCCTAAGCGTAGGAGCACCTGACTTTGCAGTGGAGCCCCCGGTACAAGCTGTGCAGGCCAGGAATGGGTGGGTGGCGGGTGCAGGAGGGGGCCCCAGCTGGGTGTTTATACTCTTACTTGTCAAAACTCAGAACTGTATATAGCAAAGAAGGTAAAATGTACTGTGTATAAATTTTCAAAGGAAAATGTATAAAGCACTTAAAAAAGGAGCTTGATGGTGGAAGAGCACTGTCAGGTAAGGTAGAACAGCCCTTGCAAAGACCTGGGGCGGGAAGTGCTTGTTCTGGGGGTGCCCTCTACCCCCACCAGTCTTGGGCCACCACTTACTCACTACTGGCCAGGTAAAGGGGCCATCGCCTGAAGGAGCCTCTACGCCTGCCACATTGGTGGCCACGTGGCACTGAACCCCCCGTTACTCTGGACTCAACTGAGGGCGCAAGCAGCGGATCCCTCCGCAGCACCCATGAGGCGCCAAGTTGGGATTCGGCACCTGCCCAGATTCTGCAGAGCAGTGAAGAAGCATGTGTGTGTTTCATTATACTGCCATGAGCAGAGAAGTCTTTGAAAACTGGTGGCACGAGTATGAGTGGAATATGTGCACCACCTCTCTGCTCATGTCTACCTTCCATAAATAGGCTGGGGGATGATGGCGATGGTGGTCACCCCTACGTGGGGGCCCCGCCTGGTACCCCGCCAACAGTGGTGGTGATGCACTCTCTGTCCCAGGGGGGTGCACCCTGGGTCCCGACTGAGTGGTCGCGCCCGCCCCCCCCCCCTTTTCCTCCCTGGCACCTGTCCTGGGACTTTGGGTCCAAGGAAGCCCCAGTACTAAAAGGACTCTGCCTCTGTTCTCCCTCCTTCCAGCACAGGGACAAACCAGAGCCACTGGGGGATGGCGGAGACCTCTCCGCACTGGGTCCCTCTTGGCTGCCAGGCAAGGCCAGGACTGGGAGCTGATGTCACTGCCCCGAGTGGGAGCCCAGGCAGGGCTGCTGCTCACTGAAACCTCCCACTCCCTCTTCTCCTTTTTACTTTTGTTCCTTTCCTTTCCCTTCCCCTCCTCCCTCTTTCCCTTCCCTTCTTCTTAGTTCCCACAGTTTAGCTCTTTTAAGAAAATTAAATTTTTGAGTAGGAAATAGATTAACATAATTCAGCTATTTTTTCAACTATTTAAAGGTATACAGTAAAAGTCTTCATCCCAGAAAAATATCAAATTCCCAAATTGAGCTACGTTCCATAAAATACCTGACCTGTCCTTAAAAACTATCAAGATCGTGCGAACAAGGAAAACCTTAGAAGCTATCGTGAAAGAGGGAGCCCAGGGAGACATGGCCACCACATGTGATGTCAGTCCTGGAGCAGGAAAGGACATTTGGGAAACTAAGGAAATCCGAATCAGGACGGACTTCAGTCAATAACCTATCAGAGCTGGTTCGTTAATTGTAACAAAGGTACCACACTCACCTACGATGTTAATAATAATCCCTTATTATTATTAAGCTGGGGGTGGGCTTTATGGGAACTCTATCTTTGCAATTTCTCTGTAAGTCTTGTTAAAATAATAAAGTTTACTTAAAAAAGTCTATCCTCCTGTGATGTGCAGCTCCCCCTCCCCCACCACACACATTAATTGGTGACCTTAGGTTCTTGTGTATCCTTCCAGGGGCTAGTGTGCAAACATGTCCCCGCCCCCTTTGACAGAAATGGTTCCCCGTTGGCATCCCCCTCCCTGCTTCCCTCATTCATTGGTATCAGGCTTAGAGAGTCGGCTCTTGTTTATGACTGGGAAAGTGCCATCCTTGTGGCCAGTTCCCTGTTGATGGACACAAGCTGTTTGCAATTCAGGGAATAATCGTGGCCTTGGATGAGTCTACCTGTTGGACACCCTCCCAGTCTTGGAAACTGCAGGACCCACGAGTCTGTAATTGTGGGAGACAGGGACAGTGGGATTTAATTCACACATCAAACAGCATTCCTGGGGCCTGGAGATCTGGGTGAAACTGCCCTGACCACCCAAGTTTTCAGTCGGCAGGGGTTCCTGTGGGCGTGTGCCTGTGGCCGCTGCCTGGCGCTCTGCACTCCTGCACCCACGGGGAAGGTCCCCAGACCCTAGTAACCCCAAGAATACCTCGGGGGGGGGGGTTGTCCTGCCAGGAAGCGTGGGTGGGAGAGCTTGCTTTAGGGTTGGGAGGTGGGATTCCCACGAGGGGCCATGCGGGTGGGAAGTTCCGCTCCATCGTTGAGGTCTGGGGTCAGCACAATCTGCCAGCATCCAGGACGATTCTGAAGGAGACATTAGGATGCCCTCCGAAGCCCACCCCTCCTCTAGCTGCCTGGGGCGGGGGTGAGGGGCTCACCTGCCCTGGATCTCACAGACCTCCCTCTCTGGGGTCTCCCGAACCTCTGTGTTTCCCCCATCACTCCCAGGAATCCTAGTTGCTTGGTCTTAAGAAGACATTTTCTCCATGTCCCTATACTCATTGCCATTCACCTCTGTTAACATCCCACATTATCTATCAAATTCTGGGGGATTTAAAAAATTTCTCTCCCCGTACTTTATAATAAAAATTTCAGATAAACAAAAGGTGAAAGAATCCCATTGTGAATATCCGCACATCCACCACCTAAATCTACACTGACATCTTAACTGCTCGCAGTATCTGGTCTTAGATCCGTGGGTCCATTAAACCGCCTTATCTTTGGAAGCACTTAAACGTGTGGACATCGGTACACTCCCAAGCCCTTCTATAAGCCTGGTATTTTAAGTGTGCTTTTTTAAAGGTAAATTTTACACACAGCAAAATATACAAATATTAAGTGTGCCGCAGTCTGGCTGATTTTAGATGGTAGGAGTGGTTTTTTCTAATTATGTACTTATTTTGACATGTATTAGGGGGAATACCCATGCATTTTCCGTTTAGGATGGTGTCCTCAAACTTCCTGTAACTATGAGTGTATTTAAATGAGCTGTGCCTAGGGCCAGAGGCAGAGCCGGGGATAGGTAGAGGTGGGGAAGGCGCTTCCACGATGCTGATGCTGTGTCTCAAGGGGTCGCTTCCGGAGCTTCGGTCTCCTCTAGGAAGACTGGCCTCGGCCTGGAGCGCAACGAGGAGCTGGGGACACGGCTGCAGCGGGGTCTGCAGCGCGGCCGAAAAAGTGTGCGTGCGTATGTGTGTATTTTCAAATCACTGTGCTTCTGCGCCCCCCCTCCAACTGAGTGGGAGTGACCTTGTGAACGCACAGGGCCAGGAATACAGTAGGTGCCCACTAAGTGTTTCCCGAGATCACAAATGCCCAGACGCTTTGCAAGCATTATATTAAAAAAATAAGAGTTCACAAATGTAAGAGGAATCCCTTTTTTCTGTACCCTTCCCTCTCCACTCCCCCGCCCGTCCCCCGGTGCAGCGCTGGCTAGCAAGCCTCAGGGTTTGTCGATTGGTAAACAGACCCGCTGGAGGGGGAAGACCCGAGCGCGGGTGGGCGGTTCCTCCAGGGCGTCATCCCAGGCGAACACTAGGGAGGGAACTCTTGAGTGCCCTGGCTCAGAAATCAGCAAAAACCGCAAGTTTCTGGGCATGCGCACAGGACTACGGAGACAGCCTCATTACAGTACAGCACAAAGTTGCTTGTAGGTGCCTCGTTAGCGCAGTAGGTAGCGCGTCAGTCTCATAATCTGAAGGTCGTGAGTTCGATCCTCACACGGGGCACAATACTTTTGTCTTCTCTAAGGACCCTAACCTCTAGGTCCTTGCTCTTGTTCTTAAGTGGGATTTTGTTTGCTCCTTTGTGGGACTGGGAGACACCGGGCGTCCTCATTTTTCCACTCTGGGGTCACCGTTGTGTCGGCTAATGCTAGGCTCAGCCTGTGCTCTCCGAGGTACCCTGGCCGGGAAGCTTTCACTTATCTTTACACCCCCCGACTTTGCCTTGCTACTCCGCAGCCTCCCGGCTTTCCGGGGTCGGGGGACCTAACCGAAGGCGGGCGCAGGACGTTAAGGGGGCGCGAGACACGTGCGAACGCTAACCCGCGCGGTGTGGGCCGGGACCCCGTTGAGCCTCTTTGGGAGGACCCCATCCTCACCACCTCGTGCTGCCCCGGGGTTGCCGGAAGGGAGCACCCCTGCCGCCCCACGCTGCACCATTGGCCTTCGCGGAGGACGCGCACAGCCCGGAGCTAGTGAGAAGTTCTTATGTGAAAATCCGCTCCTGCATTCCTGCCTTCCTAAACCTTTGGGTACCTTCATCTACATCATGCCAGAGAAACTCTGGCACGTCAATCTGATTACATAGAGGCCAACTTGAGTCCACGTTTCTGTCAAGTAAGCTGCCAGAGTTCCTTGCCTGAGTGCGCCAGGTGTCTTACTGCCTCTCAGCTCCAGTGCGCTCTTTAGTACTTACTCCCCAATGGATTCTTCAAGCCCTCTACAGTGTGCACCAAGGTATCAGTACGGGGTACAGGAGGACGCGTAGGAGGAACGTGCGTCTCTTCTGAGCTCCAAAGTGCTTGCTGTTTTGCTTATACTTGTTCCTGTCTCGATGGTTCATCAGTGGTGCAAGTGTATGGGGACACTCGGGGGTGCTCTGTCCTAGCCCTGTGCCCAGAGTGCACAATCTCTTAGTGACTTCACAGCCTCAGCCCACCGACCACTTTACTGCCCAACATGGGCATGGCCGGTTCCAAGTCTAGTGCCAACAGCTGTGCCCTGACGCACCCCGAGCCCCTGGTGTCTTCCAGGCTTGGTTTGCCTGCGCTCCAGCGGGTGGTTTGTGGCCCTCTGGACATGGCCTTTGCTGGCCAGTGTGCACTCCACTCCGACAACACTCAGGGTCCTGATGCCCTGACGCTATGTGCTTTTTACTCAACGGCCTTGAATTACCTGCACGCCAGGGACTGACTTCCTGAAGCGTGGGGACTGTGGGCCAGCTCCGGCCCGGGCCACCCAGCAACCCCTGCACTATCCAGTGGTTTGCAACCACTTCTCCAGTGAATTCTGGACCTGAGACTTTGGGGAGGGAGGGAGTCTTTCTTCCAAGGTTTTCTTTACTCTCCCTCAGTCCTACTTACTCTTTAGAATTCTCGTTACTTCTTTAGTTATTCCACTATCATAGTTCAGTAACTTTTTGTATTAACCTTTATCTGTTCAAATTATCACGTCATTTGCCTCCTGGTTGAACCCAGAGTAATATGAAATTAAACATGAAGTCCAGAATCTGTGATGTGCACCCATACTAAGAAATCAAGCCTTTGGCAGTCCTTGTAAGTCATCATTACCGCTACATACTGGAAACTCTTTTAAATGTGGTTGATGTGGACAGGGATTTAGCTAAAGCCCCAAATTTATCCAACACTGTATCATTCACACCAGAGAGAAACTTCATGAATGTAATAAATATGAAAAGGCCTTTAGGAACCTCTCTGCTTTAACAACTCAAGGGAGTACTTAAGAAAAGCTTTTAGAATATAGCCAGTGTGGGAAGAATTTTCACCCACACCAAACTTTATTGAGTTCCTAGAGAATTTACATTGTAAAGAAATTGAAGTAAGGTGGAGGTTATACTGTCAAGAAGGAAGAGGTCATCAGAAGTGTGTTTCATGAAATCTGATAACCTTTGAAATGCCAACCAAGCACATACGACCAAGGAGATTCAGTCAAGTATCTGAAATCTGCAAAGGTTATGACTTTATCTAGATTATTATTGGGAGAACTGTGAGCTCAGAGAAAATGGAGAGCAAAGGAATTTCTTAATTTGGTTAAGAGTATGCATAACTCACTTTCACTGGATGAAGAGAAACTTTAAAACTATGAAATATTGCAATACTATAAAAGAGGTGTGTGTGTAGTTGCAAAACCAGTTGAGTAAGGTATAAATTCTAGTAAAAGGGGACCTGAAGTAGGAGTCAGAAACTGGTAATATGTACCTGATCCTGGCTGGCAGAATCGCAGTATTTTATCTTTCAAATGTAGTTGACATTCTTTATTATGTTAGTTTCAGGTGTACAGAACAGTGGTTAGGCAATAACATACTTTACACAGTGATCCCCCGAATAAGTCTAGTACCCACCTGGCTCCATACATAGTTATTACAATATCACTATCTTCCTTATGCTGTACTTTACATTCCTGAGAATCACAGTATTTTAGAATTTGAACGCTTTTAGGTGAGCAAAGTCTAGTTCACCAAAGTTCCCATCATACCCTGTATATTTTACATCCTGTGACTTCCTGCTTCCAATTATACCAGCCTGACCCATGAAGGCGTGTTTGGAACTACACGAACATGAACAAAAAATCAGGCTGAGGAAAGTGCTCTTGGGAAACCTATGACTTGCACAGTGGTACTTCAGAACTTTTGACTATTGGTCCAAAAGAGCACTTCGCTTACTGAAAATATTTGGTTTACCATTAAGATGTTTTGTGACCACGAGAAAAAAGAATTCCTTCTACGTATTGCACACTACTCTATGTCAAGCGCTGTCCAGGAACTTTATGTACATCACCTTATTTAATACTCCTATCAAGTCCATGAGCAACTTCCACGCTCCTTTTGGAAATGAGTTCAGAGAGCAACTAATTCGCGCGTGGTGAAGCAGCCCGGTGTCGGCTGGGCGCAGGAGTGGGGAGAGGAGGTGCTGTCAGGAGGAGCAGACAGACACTGGTGCTGTGAGTAGGGTGCTCGGAGCGCGGTGGGGTCACTGCGAAGAGGAGGTCTTGCTGCTGGGGAAGAGAGGGCTGCAGCTTCGGCCACTCCACACTGGGGGCGCTCTAGTCACTGCGGTGTCCTCTCTTGATCCGGCTACACAGCTGTTGAGACGGTTGCCCGCTCTTTATCTCGTTTTATCCTTAAAACTACCTCTCATCAACTAAAGTTATGGAGGTTTATGCTGGTTCTTACAACCTGAAAGAGCTTAATACAAGTTTTAATGTTTTCAAAATGTTTTTATTGTGAGAAGTACCAGAAGCTATTTACAAGACAAAAAGCGTAAGAACTGAATAGAACACATAATTTTTATACCCAGAGTTTTCTATACAAAAGGTTGATCTTTACAGGATTTTAAAATAAATAATCTAAAAATCAGTGTCATTGATTGCAAAAGAGGCCTTTCTCTCTTTGACTTTCACGGTGACCAGTCTCCTATGTGGCCGAAAGAGGAGGCGTCTGACACCTGCTGCGGGCCTGGGCGACGAGTCTCCGGCGGAGGCTTCTCACTCTCTCCAGGAGATCCTGGTCCATGGCGTCCCACTGTGTTTTCCTTTGGTTTAAAGAAACTTCAAAACAAAATTTAAAACAAACAATAGTTTAACTTTCTGGTGTTAGCAATGATACAGTATTTATTTTAAAGGTCAAGGTGCTGTAAAAATCAATAGTTAAATAAATATTCTAAAAACCAAATTTCTTAAGCAAAAGCCGACTGACATATTTATAACCTGGACCTATGTTGTTCCACTTACAAGCTAAGTATTTATTTGTTGAACTGAACGAATGCTATCAGACGATTTGTCTGCTTTTGGTTGCTCAGCACTTTTTCAATTTGGAGATACAATCTTTTAGATTTCCTAATCTAAAGCCTCCCCAAAAGAGAGCCTGAGCTCTTTGCAACAACGGTTAAGTTTCCTCACTAGGATACTTAATGTAATGAGAAAAGACATTCTAATTTGCCAAAATTAATATTGTACACACCATGACCACTTACCAATGATTAAGTAAAAATCAATAAATCAAATTCTTTTAATAGTGGCTAACACAAGGGAGAGTCCAGAATCAAGATTAAAATATAACAATGGGCCCAAGTGTAAGAACTATTTCATAGTGATTTAGAGGGGCTGGTAAATACTGAAATTTGAAACAGAAATACCTTAAAAATACATTTCTCAGAAACTCAGTTACATATTCTAACAGTTTCAATTTCTGAAAATTATTTTTTTCTCCCAAGAATTCAACTTCTATGCTTTTTTGTTTTGCTGCCAAATAACCTAAATTTATCAAATGTGGAGTCAATTTTCAAATTTAGAATAATCTAGTTAAAAAGTTCTGACATGTCAGAATAGAGAAGAATTAAGAATCTCTTGTACTTTCATTTGATGCATGACTTTTGGGTGAATTCCTATTCTAACACAGCATTTATAGGTGATACAAGAGCGTGAGTCAGTAAAAATAGTTTACACAATGCTGGATTCTCATTACTTGTTATTGAAGGAGGTGGAGGGAGGTAAAAGAGGGTAAAAGGGGGATAAATGGTGATAGAAGGAGGCCAGACTATAGGTGGTAAACATACAATGCAACACACAGATGATGTGTTATAGAACTGTATATCTGAAACCTATTTAATTAACCAATGTAACCCTAATACACTAAAAACATATATAAAATATATATAGTGAATATATATATTGTGAATATATATATATTATATTTATATATATATATATATATATATATATATATATATATATATATATATATATATATAATATAATGTATATATATAACAAAAACCCCAAAGACAAATCAGGTACTTTACAGCGGAAATCGTTGGCGCTGTGACTGTATTTTTGTAAGATGTTTTCATCCCACCCCTTCCAAAGACGGACAAAGCCTCCAGGGAACCAAGTCAGGGGATGAGAGGTCAACCCATCGGCAGGAAGCCGTTGGCTCCCAGCCACCGCGACGCCAGCTATCTATCGATCCTGGCTGCCCATCACACTGCCCACAGCAAACACGTTTTCAGTGGTTGTTCGAGGGACCAGCTCAGGACAGAGGCAAGAAAATTCAAATGAGTAATAGCTTTGAAAGCTCACGCTGAGATTTCTTTTCGCAAGGATGTAAAACAGTTATGAATATTATTACTTTAGTAAGCGGCAGATTTCTGTTGAAACCTCCAACTGTTCCAGGCAGCGGTGCAGGTGCTAAAGAAACGGAGAGGCATTAATGATGTTTGGCAAACTTTCTTTACTTGGATTTCAATCTAATCCAGTTTTTTCCTCCAGCTGGAAATTTGAGAACCTTGGTACCTCTGTAAGGGGGCTGGGCGGGGGCGGGGCAGGGGTGGACACGCCCCCTCCGGAATGGGGGAGGGACTTGAGCTGCGCCCGTGTGACTGGAGACTTGGCCCCCTTGCTGACCACAGTGGCCAGAGGAGGAGGGACAACAGCAAATATGGCTGACACTGGCCCTCAGTGGCTGGAAGGCCGGACACTCCCGCGGCTTTTGGAGCGCGTGGGATTCTGGAAGAGGACTTCTGAAACGGACAGCAAAAAGTCAGTTGGTTCTTCCCCTCCCCTGGTGGTGGTGGTGGTGGGGCGGGGGTGTCAACGGTCGCCAGAGGGCCCGCCGAGGGTGGCCAGCAGGCCTGAGCATGGAGGCCGTGGAGCCCTGACTCTGAAAGATGCCTGAGGCTAGACAGTGACGGGAGGCCAGCTAAGCCACCTACGTGCATGATGCTTCTAGGTGGGAGAAGGGGTGCCTGGTGTAACCTAGAACTGAGCTGGCAGGGGGTGACAAGGTGAGTTTTCTCTGGGTGTCTTAGAGGGAATAGGCTTTGAGGCAGAAACTTGCCGTTATTTCCGAAGACCTTGGTGATAATTATCAGCATTGCGAACAGACTTTTGTTATCGTGTTATTTTCACTTCTTCAACCTATGTAGTAGTTGTAATAACAAACAGGGGCCAGCACAAACAACGCCCCTTTTTTTATTACAAAATCTTTAGCATATGCATATGATAAGCATATGATTCTATAACATAACAATATCACTCAAGCACACTGTACATTTTAGGTAAAATGTACAGATTAAAACTATAAATGATCACACCCATATTATTACTCTACCAACCACATTCAAATAGGCATTACTTTTGCCAGACCCTGTATTTAAATAGCTATTTTTGATGTCATACTCTGACTTTTTCTTTCTCCTTACTTTTGTTACCCAGATATTTAAGGCAGAAACTTGCCATTAAATAAAAGATTCCTTTCTTTTCCACCCAACTCTGCCTTTTGAGATCTGCCTGGTGGCGAGCGGTAGGATCCCCCCGCACCGCCCCGACTATCTGGGTTTGGTAACACCTCCAATACCTCCATTGGAGGATTTCCATTACCAGCGTTCTAGGAAAATGGCATCAATGTGAGGTAGGGTACTAAGAAGCCAGAAGAATCCCTGGGCAAGTGGAATGGGGAAACTGAGACAAGAAAATTAAGCAAGACCAAACAGTTTGAGCAATTTACAGCCAGCTGGTAAATGGCAAGGTCTTATCTCCCCTAACCAAGGACACCTGAGAGCAAATGGTTTCTGGCTCTCCCCGTTAACCAGAGAAGACAGCGCTTCCCTGGCCATAAACCACAGGTGTCAGCGAGAGGGGGATGCCGATGCCATGCGAGGGGAGAGCAGAGCTCGTGTGGAACAAAGGAGCCGCTGGGCAGGAGGCTGCCAGCCGTCTGCTCCCCCTCCTCTTACTCCCAAGAGAAACAGCACCCCTGCGCTCCCCCCAGGAATTCCCCTTCTTAAACTCCCATGTTTCCCCTACATAAACGTGCTTCTGGAAGCTCACGGAGGGGTGGGTGTTGGGGTTTTTACCTGCCACCTTCTCAGACTGCTGGCCTCCGATGTTAACGAAAGCGCCAGTTATAACGCGGTCCCTGCCTCTGCTTTTCGGCCGGCGGGGACAGGCAGCACGAGCCCAGACTCGGCTGTCCTCCGGTTTTAAACGTGCCATAAATATAACTGAAGCCACAATCTTGCTTAAATATTGCTAAACTTAAAATAAGAGAAGACATCTTTCTTGTTTATCAACTTACTCTGTGTGGAGGAATCCATTTCAGAAATGTCACTTGATTGTGAGGTTCTGGGCAAACGGCTTGTGGCAACCTGTTCATTTTGGCATCTGGGCACTACTGTTACAAAAGGGAGGAGAGAAAGAGGGTGTTTGGGAGTGAACAGAAAGCCTTTATTAATCCCAAATGGTCCTGGTACATTAAAACTGCCAGGGATAAAAAGCCCCTTTTGAGAAGAACAGACACCATTCAAAGGGCAAGGGAGGGGCATTTAGAATTAAGAGCTGAGCATAAGTTTTGCTAAAGTGCTTTAAAAACACCTTTAACCACAGCAAAATGCCAACAACTCAAAAATATAGACAGCAGGATAGAGATCCCAAACATTTATCGGAAGGGATTATGAAATGTAATTAGCAAGCAATTCCTGAGAACTAACTGCTGGCTTTAACCAGGCAGGGCCTAATCACAAAATACACAGGCGGTCAGAACCACCAACAGGTGAGTTCTACCTGAAGCCTTAAGCAGTAAGCAGAACAGTGCTCCCCACGTTACTGGCCCCCCCAACCCCGGTTTTAATCAATTGGCCCCTCATTTCAGAAGTTGCGCTCATCGTCCAGCGGTGCTTGTACTGTTCCCTAACTCCTACAGATTCACAACCAACAAGACACCAAAGTCGTTTTGATTTTTCATCCTAATGTCGCTTATGACTGTGCCTTCTTTTCTGCTACCATGCTGGGGTCCGCGTCCCCGTGTGTCAGGCGCAGAATGTTTGGGTCACGTTCATCGAGATGCCTGCTTTTATCTGCTCTTAAGAGCTTTGGCTAACAGTTTTCACTCAGTTTTAGCTCATGAGTCATTAAGACAATTGGACTAATTACCAAATGGCTAATTGGATCTGGTGGGGGGATGGAATATGAGTCGCCCCCGAATATTAAAGGGCTGTCCCGAGGCTGATGCAGGAAGTGTCATCTGCATGGCTCCAGAGAACTGTTTCTAATGAGAATTAAGAAAACAAAACAAAGCAGACAAGAAGAGCAGATTCAGCCTCACGGACGGAAAAAGATAACCTTTAAGTGAGACACCGGCAGGAAATGGGAGACAGCGATGGGCCCGCAGCTCCCTCAGTTTTCTGGTTCGGGCTGGGCCGCCATTGCTGCAGGGATGACTCGCTGGTCAGATACGGGCTCTCCAGGGCCCCCCACATCGGGGCTCCCACAGTCCTTCACCTCTCTTCGGCCCTGCTCCATCCTGCCCGCGGAGGTTCAATACACCTTCCCAAAGGGCCGTGCAGTGAACAATCAAACTGCTAACAGGTCTCCTCAGCCCGCAGCCGCGTCTCTCTGTGTCATCGGCACACACTTCCGGCTGCCTCCCCTCTAGGCCCTGGCTGACACGCCAGTGCTGAGTGTTTCCCATCAAAATGCCATTTTCCTGCCCTGGCTGGGTGGCTCAGGTGGTTGGAGTGTACATCAAAAGGCCGTGGGTTCGATCCCCAGTCAGGGTAGGTGCAGGCGGCAAACCCTGTTTGTTTCTCCCCCCACTCTTTCTCTCTCTCTAAAATCAATAAAAACATAGCCTTGGGTGAGGACTAAACAAACAAAAAGCCATTTCCGTAATTATAGCTTATCATATCTCCCAGTGTTAGAATTAAATGGCTTTGGTTTAATTTATATACCCTGATGAAGGAAATGAAAAATCCTTACATATTTACCTTTGAAAAATGGATGATTATTAACCAAATTCTCTCTCAGTGGAGAAATTTAGGAAAGTTTAGAAAAAGGAGGTCGCACGGTGGGAGACAGCGTGTGGGCAGAGGGCCAGCGTGGAGGAGGGCTCCACGCTGACGAGAGGGGCTTGGGCAGTTTCTTCCCTCTTCCTGTTTCTAAATCCACACCTTCTCTAAAGGCCTCAAGATGGTTCTCTTTCTACTGGTGGGGCAAACGCGAGGTTCAGGGAGAAGGGGCAGCTCCATCAGCTGGCATCTTTTGAAAGCCAGTTTTAAATATTTAGTTTGTGCCCAGTGACATTCCATTCCCCGCTGCCTCGAAGTGCTCTGGGTGCTGTTTGGGCCTTAAACAAAAAGTGGACACAATGTCCATCAACTGATAAACGAATAAATACAATCGCAATACCCATACAATGAAATATTTAAATAAAAAGAAATGAAGTGCTGATCCGTGCTGCAACGCGGCCGAACCTCAAACCATGCTAGGCGAAAGGCAGACACTAAGGACCATGCCCGGTATGATTCCATTTATATGAAATTTCCTGAAGAGGCAAACCTATAAAGACGGGAAGTAGATTAGGGGTTGCCAGGGCGGGGGTTGGGGAGCAACAGGAAATGGAGAATGACAACGAGTGGCTATGGGGTTACGGGGTTTACTTCGGGGTGCTGAAAACGTTCTAAAATTGTGCTAATGGTTATATAACTGAATATACTTTTTAATATATGGTAATATGATCCCACTGAATTGTAGACTTTAAAGAAGTGAATGGTATGGCATGTGAATTATATATCAATAAGGCTGTCATTTAAAAAAAGTAAGATATATACATTGTTAAAGACTGAAACAATACAAAATATAATAAAATAAAAGCCCCCTGTATCTGTATTCTATTTTAAACTGCAATTCTGACTTTTCCATTGATGCCATTATAAGTCTTACAACACCAAGACCCAATGTCCTGTAATAAGTTTCCTTGTGTTACTTTAATATACTATTGTTCTGAGGACCAGCTATTGGCAAAGCAGGTGTTCTTACTAAAATAACTAGGAATGGCAGCTGGCTGTAAATTGCTCAAACTGTTTGGTCTTGCTTAATTTTCTTGTCTCAGTTTCCCCATTCCACTTGCCCAGGAATTCTTCTGGCTTCTTAGTACCCTACCTCACATTGATGCCATTTTCCTAGAACGCTGGTAATGGAAATCCTCCCGTGGAGGTATTGGAGGTGTTACCAAACCCAGATAGTCGGGGCGGTGCGGGGGAATCCTACCGCTCGCCACCAGGCAGATCTCAAAAGGCAGAGTTGGGTGGAAAAGAAAGGAATCTTTTATTTAATGGCAAGTTTCTGCCTTAAATATCTGGGTAACAAAAGTAAGAAGAAAGAAAAAGTCAGAGTATGACCTCAAAAATAGCTATTTAAACACAGGGTCTGGCAGAAACGACTCACCCTCTAGCACATTAAGGGGACGCCAAGGGCCACAGAACCAAGGAACAGGGCAGCGCTCCACAGGACGACTCAGGAGTTTTTCTTGATTGAAGCTATTTTTTTGACGGCCCCACCACCTCACCCCACTGTTTCTGACCAAAACCAAAAAGTAGTGACTAGGGGTTACCTTTCAGCTGAGCGAGAACGTGAATAAAAGTGCCACAATACACCTCCAGGATTTATCGGTGACCCCGGAGCACGCCAAACCAACGACCTGCGAAGGGCGGGCCGAGAGAGAAGGGCCTCCGGGCGCTCACCTGCACCGCGGGTCCGGCCTGCCTGCTCTAAAGCCTCACGCAGCTCCTTCTCCAGAAACCACCTTCGAGATGCATCCGAGAGGGCAGCAGCTTTCTTTTCTGATTTCAGCTGAAAGTCTTTTTCTTCAGCCTCCTCCCACTAAATATAAATAAGTGGAAAAAAATGTCACATAAAAACAGTGGCGATGCAAGTTCCTACAGTGGAAGATGCCCCCTCTGCTCCCTCTGTGCTACTTCCTGTGGTGCCTCCGAGGCATGGGACCCTGCCCCAGGCAGCTGAGGCCCTGGGAAGCAGGGCGCCCCTGGCGTCCCCCCAGCCCGAGTGCTGTCTGCGCAAAGTTTCCCTGTCACTGAACTGACAATTCATTTCACTGCATTTCAAATCTCACATCTTGGGAGATGAAGCTTTACTTTTTTAAATTAATGGCAACTGTTTTGTTTAACTTGAATGGTATGCCTTAAATAATACAGTCTACAAAATTCGGAGAATGAACTAGTTCTTTTTACTTTTGGTTTTACTTAGAAATAGTGGGCACGTCACCGTCCAAGGCATACAGCATGGTGGTGTGATTTATGTATATTGTCAAGTGATTACAACAGGTTTAGCTAAATCCATCTTTTCATACAAGTACAATAAAAAAAAGGAAAAAATATTTTCTTTGTAATGAGAACTGTAAGATTCACTCTCTTAACGACTTTCCTAGCTACCACGCAGCAGCTGTTAGCTATAGTCATCATGTTGTGGAGGATGAGTTCTTTGCCCAGCTCTGGGGCACACAATGACTACAGGGAAGTCGAGTAAGCTCTGTTAGCCTCCATTTTCTCCTTCCGAAAGTGAGAAACCGATAGCTCACAGGGTAACTAAAATAATCAATTTAAAATACTATATACAGCTTTTATACGCGGAATTTGTTATAGCATTGCTAACGAATTAAATAACAAAAGCTTTAAAGAATCATTAGGGCCCCGGGGGACCACAGAGATCCATCCCTTTCCTGCTACCGATGAGGGCACTTCCAGAGCACAGAGCAGTCAAGCCGGAACCCAGGACACTGGGCACAAAGGAGGATGTCTGCACACCATGAGGAGCCCTTGCGACTCTCACGGTTACTCTCAGATACACCACTTTACCCACAGGAGAGTCATCCCTGACCTTCCCGTCTGGCCCCAGGGCCAGCACGTCTTCCCTGGCAGGTGTGGGCTCCCACCAGTTTTCCCGAGGAGGAGCCTCAGGCATTTGGGCATCACGTCCTGCTCCCTGTCCTGGAATGGAAGGCTTATACCCTGGCATGGGGCAGGAGGGAGATGAATCTGGAATGGTGACTGGAAGGAAAATTATTATGAAAAGCTTTCAGAACAGACATTACGATCTAGCAGCAGAACGCCAGCTACGTAGTGCCTGAGACACAATAATGTAAATGGAAAGACGCTCAGTCATTTTTAGGTAGTATCCATCAATATTGGACTTCTCTGAGCAAAACTTATTAAAATGAGATCATTTTGAAGATATTTTTCAGCAAAAAATTACTTGGTTTGTTGCTTCTGTCATCCGATTATGTAATATTTCAAAATTTAAATTATTCATAGCAAATTTATAACATTCTTACCATTTGAGCTTCCTTCTCTATCATTGCATTTAATACTTCTATTTCTTTTCTTCTGTTTTTCTGAAGGAGTTTGGCCATTTCCTGGTAACATTCATTTCGTTGTAGATCATCACATCTTTGTTTATGTAAAGCTTGGATTCGCCAGTCAGTGTTTAGGCATGCTTGTTCAGCTTTTGCCAAGTTTTCTTCAATTAACTGAGAAAAAAATTGTCAAGTTTCAGAAAAAAGGTCAGACTATATATGATTATGGTATATCCATGTAATGTAGCCAGGTGTCTACGGTAGCTATTTGTAACCCTGGGTGCATATTAAATCACCTCTAGTCCTGGCCAGACGGGTCAGTTCGTTGGAGTGTTGTCTTGTGCATCAAAAGGTTGTGGGTTCTATCCCCGGTCAGGGTGCATATGGGAGGCACCTGATCAATGTTTCTCTCACACTGATGTTTCTTTCTCTCTCTGTTCCCCTTTCCTCTCTCTAAAATCAATAAATATATTCTCAAGTGATAATTTTTAAAAAAATCACCTCTAGGTGTTTAAAACAAACTAATGTCCAGGGCCTACCCCAAACCACCAGTTAAATTGCTTTCTGGATATTGGTACTTTCAGTACGTTCTTCAGGTGACTTGAATGTATAGCTGAGGTTGAGAACTTCTAGGCTAAAAGACAGGTGGGGTTAAACGATTTCCATGTTTCAACCCTTTGAAAAGGAGTCAGAAGAATTCATTCTTACACCCTGGACAAAAGTCTTTAAGAAAAAAAAATGGTGGGAATATTCAGGGGGTTGGGCCAAGGAATTGCTGCAGTACAGAAGGTGGGACTTACACTATTCCTGGCTTTTGGACCAGGGCCAGCCCCTGCCACAAACCTACTTAGCATCCTGTTGAAGGGATACTAGAAAACATTCTCTCTTGAAGGTCTCAAATTCTATTTCAGTTCATTTAAGCCAGAATTTCTCCACAAGAATATTCTATAAAATAAGTTTGGGGAAATTTCTTAAAGATTCACAGTATACCGTATCTTTAAAATTAGCATGAAAAACTAACATAGCATTTCCAATACTTATTAGTCATCTCCTATTTTACTAAATAATAGTTATTAATATTCTAGAGAATACACTTTGAAACTACTGGCTTACATGCCAGGCAGAGACCTGATATTTTTTAACTAATCTCCTCAGGAACAATTTCTGAGACATAACACAGTAGGATACTACAATTTATAAAGTTACTAGTTCCTTTGTATTTTCTTCTAAGTCTTGAAATTCATAAAGCATAAAAGACACATGTATATGGCTGTCAATGAGGTAAGTAACCTGCAAATAAAATAATGTGAGATTTTAGAACAGCGCTAACTGAAGCAAAGAATGAATTAACTCAACTCTACAGAGTTCAAATTTTAATTCCTTGATGACGGATGGGAATTTTCCCCTTTAGGTACACACTATATTGACCACATGTTTACCTTCTGAGTGTTTTGGTTCTGCGTTTGATCTGTTTCTATCAGTCTGTGAAACAAGCGTTCTTCAAGATCCACTTTTCGTCTATAGGCATCTGTATCTGCTCTCATTTCTTTTTCAACAGTTTCTTGATTTCTAGTAAGATTCTGTTAAAAAAAAATCACCAATCTATAATAATAATGCCAGAACACAAAAATGACTTTTTTTCCAGAATACTAATATGAACACAAATAAAAACTGTAATCATCTAATTTTTAAAATAAAAAACAAACAACAGTGATATCAGCGGAAGTAGGAATAAGGACCCCTGAAAACTCTCTTACCCACAAATGCACCGAGGACCTTAGCCACACCTTTTCAGAACTCTGGACCTCAACGGAAGGCTTGGGCACTCTGGGGAGCATTTATTCATAGGAATGGCTGGGTCCTGGTCAGAGCAGCTAGCATCACGGCTTTTCTAAGGTGCACGATTGTCATTTCCTCCCCACCTGTAAGCTTTGCATTCACCCTGACATTAGTCTGGCAGGCAATGGAGGGGCAACATGGAGCGGGAGCCCCTCTGAACTCTCATTCCCAAAGAACTGTCATCATCTGGCTCCTGGTTCTGAAAGACCCCACTTCCAGGCTGTCTTTATTTGACTTGACTCAGAGCTCAACTACTTCCAACAGCCTTTTTCCTGGGGACATTTGTTGAAAACAACCACAGGAAACTGTTGACTACACTGGCTGCCTGAGGCAGTGGATCCTGGTTAGTAAAAACAGGCTAATCAAAAAGCTTTATAGGAAAAGGTGAAGAATTGAGGTCCAAAGGGCTTTGAAAAGCTCCAGCAGATCCCTGGGACTCCGGAAGGCCACGTGCACATGGAAGGCTTTGCGCAAGCTGAGCTGTGTGAATGCTCAGACCCGACAAGGTCCTAAGCTGTCAACTCTGGTGAACTGAGGTTCTGCACCATCCGGAAGTGAAATCTAAGATGGAGTTGTAAACTACCTAAGGATACAAGGCTCCCCCAACATGATATGCATAGAGCTCTTTGACAAAGACTAGTGGCCTATTGTTCAAGGCATCTAAGGAAATCTCTGTCCCATCACTAAGCTACCTGAGTGGAGTCTTAAGTGGCTACAAAGGACAAAGACAAGAGACTTTACAGAATTAATTCAGAAGAATCACTTAGCAGAGAAACAAGAAACTCTGGGAAGGGAGGAGAATCTGATTTGCCATATTACATTATTTAAAATGTCTAGTTTCCAACAACAACAAATCACATGACTTATTAAAAACCAAAAAAAATGGCCCTACATACTTTTAATAGACATTAACTACATGATCTCCAAAGAAGATATAATAATGGCCAATACACATATGGAAAGATGCTCGATGTCACTAGTCGTAATAGAAATGCAACTCAAAACCACAATAAGATACTTCACGCCAACTAGTATGGCTATAATCAAAAGGACAGGTGATAACAATTGCTCACGAGAATGGAGAGAAACTGGGACTCTGTACTCGGAACGAACTGAAAATACATGTCCGAACAAAGAGCTGTGCGTGAACGTTCACTGCAGCACTAGTCACCATAGTCAATGTGAAAACTACCCAAATATCCACCAACCAGTGAATGGATAAACAGTCATCAGTCTACACAATGGAATATTTATTATTCAGCCATAAAAAAAAGCACCGACTTAGGCTATACAACATGAATAAGCCTTGAAAACAAGCTGCCTGAAAGAAACTGTCACAAAACCCTACCAATTGTATGACTTCATTTACGTGAAATGTCCAGAATAGGCAGATCCAGAGACGGAAAGGAAAGCAGTGGCTGCCGGAGGCAGGGGACCAGGGCGAGGACGGGGAGTGCGCCCTGCAGGGGGCAGCGGTCGGGGGGGGGGGGTGGGGGGGGGGGCGGGGCAGCAAATGGTGTTCCTGAAGATTTAGGTTAAAAAAGCAAAATACATACCAATTGTTTGTAGCAAATAATCTCACTTGTCCTTATTGAGGATATTAGCAGTTATTTCCTGGGGGATTTTTTCCCCTATTTTTCTAACTATCCATTGGCAGCATAATTTCCATGTAATTAGTTAAAAATAAAGATGTTTTCAAGCATATGCAGAGAAGATACATGCATGAAGTTTATTGCCAAAAACTGTAATTCACTTAAACTACCAACAACAGAAAAAAAAGTTTAAGTTATGGCTCATTGATAGCCACTGCCAATAATGACTACAAAGACAGGCAGCATTTAGGAAAAGAGTTTTATTAAGTGAAAAAGAAAAACAACACACTGTACATTCAAACATTTTGGCTACCTTACAATCCTGCATGACACTATGTTGCTCTTAAAAAAAAACAAAATAAAATGGGTATTTAAAAAATACGAATAAATATAGTCTAAGAAGAGACTGTATAAACTCTACTTTTTAAAAAAAGATTTTATTTATCTTTTTAGAGAGGGAGAAAGAGGAGAGAAATATCAATGTGTGGTTGCCTCTCACGCGTCCCTTACTGGGGACTGGCCTGCAACCCAGGCATGTGCCCTGACTGGGAATTGAACCGGTGACCCTTTGGTTTGCAGGCCAGCAGACAATCTGCTGAGCCACACCAGCCAGGGCTAAATTCTACTTCTCTTATATTGGAAATAGCTGATTTATACCTTCTCATAAAGTCTTTTTTGTGATTCGAGTTCCAGATGTCTCATTTCTAGGTCTTTGGCTGTGGTAGCAATTTCTTGATCTCTCATGAGTACCTATGGTTAAAAGAAACCAAATTGTGAATACCAAAAAGAATTTACAAAATACTTTTTGTTTAATAGAGGGAGTAATCTTGTAATCTGAACAACTCACTGCAGGGGTTTAAAATAATAGGTATTAGGTTTTTGAAACCAGAGTAATTGACATTATATGAACATTCACTGTGGAATCTAGGAATAATGTCTGAATTAAAGTTAAGTTTAATTTTGTAAAAAAGAAAGCACAATTACCATATGTTCATGTACCCAGACTGGGAGAACAGATGGCAGGTTCTTACCATATTACATTAGCCAATATTAGGAGTTAGAAAAACTTGAGCAATTTAAATGTGTGGTGGATAAAAATATAGAATGTTTAAACATATTAAATGTAACATTTAATGTTCTTTTTGATTAAACTGTATTTTATAAATTTAGTATGGCACTAGTAACTTCAAGTTTAAATATACTGTGGACTCTTCAACCTGTATATGCCCCACTTGGATTTAGTTACTTTAAAGTTCACCTGTCTCCAAAGTGTGATTACTTGGAAGCTTTTCACTCTTATACACTAGAGGGTTTGGGTTAGGTATTCTTTAGATGGAAAAACTTACAAACTGTCTTACACCTTACGAGCAAGGGTAGTAATAATGCCAATAGGTGGAGGAGAGGTCTGGTATAGCAAATGATGCTTTTTAGAAATTTCAATTATAGAAACTCTCTTGCTTACACATTTTCAGAGATACAAATAGCTACACGCCAGAGCGAAAGCAGATCACCTCTGCTTGCTGCTTAAGAGATGTCCTCGGTCACCTGTATGTGCCACTTTGGACTCAAGCAGTATTTCCTGCTGCTGCCCGAGCTGTGAGTAGAGGAGCTTTTGTAGGTTAGGAGGGTCAGAGCTCCCTGCCAGGACTGGGGACTGAAGGGCAGGAGGCTGGAAGGGTAGGCAGGGCCCCATCACACCACTGAAGGGGCTTCACAGGAGTCTTTGGCCAAAAAAATTGCCTTCCACCATCTCAAAGGGGTTTGGAATAAAGAGGTCAGAGCTCTAAGCCTGCAGTACTTTTGGAGAGCACAGACTTTTCTAGAATAATGAATTACCAACCATAATAGATTATTAAAAGGAGCTATAGATTTTAAAAAGTTAAAATCAATTGGCTGGAAACAAAAAGTATTACCTCATGCTATAAAAAGAGATAATAGATTTCTAATGCTGATGAATTAAAAATACTTTAAAATATTTAAAAAATATTGAGTATTTTACCAAAACTAGGTTTGAAACTCCCTCAGTTAGTCTATGAAGTCAATGTAATCCTAACTAAAATTCCAACAGGATGGAGGTGAGGAGGGGATTCAGAGAGAGAGAGAGAGAGAGAGAGAGAGAGAGAGAGAGAGAGAGTCATAAAATTTTTCAGGTCTATTTGAAATGATGAACATTTGAGAATACTGTGAAAAACTCTGAAAAGGCAGATTAATAGTGGGAATGAGGCCTACGAGTCTGAAAACATTACAAAGCTGTCATGCAGTGTGGTACTGCTTAGGAAGAGACAGGGTGATGGTGGACATGAAGTGTCTAAGGGAATTTAACATTTAATAATCATGCGGCAAATGACTTTGCTAATGTTCAACAGCGGTGCTGGGACAACTGACTTGGCTGGGGAAAGAAGCCAGCTTGGTCCCCACCTCCTTCCCTACATTCAATCTGCAGACGCATCAGGGGCTGGCAAACCTTCTGTAAAGGGCAAACATTTTAGGCTCAGGGCCGAGAGTTTCTGTCACAACGCTTCACCTCCGGCATTACAGTGCAAATGCAGCCACAGACGGTATGTAAACAAGTGCGAGGGACTGTGTCCCAATAAAGCTGTATGGGCACTGAAACTCGAATTTCATGTTTTTAAAATTTTAATACAATTTTTATGTCATGGAATATTATTCTTTGATTTTTTTCTTAACCATTTAAAATATTAAAACCATTCTAAGGCCCTGGCCGAGTAGCATAGTTGGAGATTCATCCTGGATGTGCCAAGGCTGCAGGTTCGATCCCTGTCAGGGCACATACAAGAATCAGTGAACACATGAACAAGTGGAACAACAAATCTATGTCTCTCTCTCTCTCTCTCTTAAATCAATAGGAAAAACACATTCTCTCACGAGCCTTACGAAATAGACAGTAGGCAGACCTGTCAGTGCACTGTAATGTCCTGACCCTTGAGATACAGCAAAGATGAAAAACCAACAGGAAAACATAAAGATAGAAAAGAACATGCATTAAGTGGTGATATAAACTTAAAACGGGATGGCCTTTCTAAATATGACACAAAACCTAGAAGTCATAAAAAACTAGCAAAGTGGGTTACCTAAAATTAAAATATTTTGCATGATTTAAAAAAAGACACTATAAACAGAAGACAAGCAACACAGACCAGAGGAAAACAGCAGACAAAGGATTAAAGCCCCAGCCATATGCTGTGTGGCAGCCACTGGCCACACCTGGCTGTGCAGCATTTGAAATGCACTAGTCCACACTGAGGTGCGCTGTAAGTATAAACCGACTCCTAGATTTCAAAGACTGAGTACAAACAAAAGGTAAAGCATCTCATTAATAATACCTTCATGTTAATGACATACTGAAACAACTACAAATACTGAGTTAAATAAAATTAAACTCAGTGTTAAAAGTAATTACTATTAAAAGTAATTTTACCCGTTTTTCCTTTTTTTAATGTGGCTCTTAGAAGCCTTAAAATAGCCCCTGTGGCGCCCATCCGATTTCTCGGACGGTGCCGCCCCATGTGACACAAGCAGCCCACGCCAACCGACAAGAACGAGGCCGACTGCGGGGGAAGCGGGCAGATGGTGTGCGTGCGTATGCAGGTTAGGGTTCTACCGATGGCACTGAGAAGATGTTTAACCTCACTAGCAGAAAAATGAAAAAATAAAAAGAAAAAAGAAAATTAAAATGTACCAGTTTTCACCTGTCAGACTGGCAAATATTAAGATGAATGTACTTCATGTTGACTAGGGTATGGATACTCATACACTTAAAATAGCTTAAGTGAGTTCATTTCTGGAGAACAACTGGCATATCTAGGAATTTACTTAAAGTGTGTCTGCAAATACTGAAAGGTTTGTACTGCAAAAGTACAACCTGGTACTGTTCTGTAGAGCAAAATGCTGCAATCAATGGAAAGTTTTAACAGTGACAGATTAGTTAAATAAACTATGACATGTTCATATAATGGAATACTAATCAACCGGTAAAAAAGATATATAATCATTTTTTAACAATTTATGTCTGGGGATGAAATGAGAGGAGAGTGGACAAGATCCACTTTTAACTCCATTTCATAATGGAAATTTTTTTTTACTGGCCATGTGTAAATTTTTATATAAAAAACAGTATTTCCCCTCTTCACAATGAACATAGTGGTTAATTGATACTACCATTTTTTGGAGAAAGTCACCAGGGACGTCAGTCAACCTAAGTTTCCTGGCATTTCTAAAATACTTAATCATTAATGAAATATACAAAAGAGGATGACAATAGCTATTCAGGAAATTGTCAGTTATATTAGAGGGGCTATTTAGCATTTGTTGTGAACTCTAGGGGTAATATATAGCTTACAGGCGTTCATTACATTTAAATGAGAACACATGAAGAGAATATATGAGTACTAAGATAAGAATAATAAACCTTTCTCTCAATTTCATCATCCAGTCTTCTTAGTTCCATTTCCCGCTGATCTTGCTGAAGCTTCAGAAAACGCCTTCTTGCAGCCTCTTGTAGGTGCATTTCCTTTACTTTCAGCTCCCTTCTCACAGCAGCGAGTCTGAAATACAAAATACAGGGGTGGGCAAAAGTTGTTCGTATGGAAAAAGACAAGCAGGTTATGCTTAATACAGTAGCTTTAGCTCAAAAGAATGTCACAATGGCATAGTCCATAGCTTTCTCAATAACTCTTTTTTTTTTTTAAAGATTTTATTTACCTACTTATTTTTAGAGAGAGGGGCAGGGAGGGAGAAAGAGAGAGGGAGAGAAACACTGAGGTGAGAGAGGAAGACATCTATTGGTCGCCTATTGCACGCCCCCAGCCCGGGACCAAACCCACAACCCCGGCATGTGCCCTGACAGGGAATCAAACCAGCGAGCTCTCAGCTTGTGGGACGACACCCACCCTCCTGAGCCTCACCAGTCAGGGCTTCAGCAACTCTTTTTAATGCACAGTAGAAATCTATTTCATAAAGCCACACCCAAGAATAAGAATCAATAAACAGAAGTTTCCCAGCAATGAGGCTTAATCCCAAAGCTCATCCCATAATCTTAATTAATTTCAACTGTTTACTTTAATAAGTATTTTATACTTCTTCCCCTGTCCTTCAAAGTATGAAATGCATGAGACAATCATTTTATGTTTCAATTCTGAGGTCACAGAGGTATGTTTAAAACATAATTTAAAAATTATGCTCCACCAGAGGTAATTTATCAAGCACAGTAATACGAAGCGCTTCTGCCCACTGGAGAATAAGGTTTCTAATAGTGTCCTCCCCGGCACACTAGATAGATCTTGTATTACTTCTGAATCATCAGTGCAAAGTTACATCACAGTCAGGGTAGCTTTAGGATTACATTTTACTATATGCCAATTTTTTTTTGAAGAGTGGTATATACACAGATTTCTTTTTATTAAGTATTTTGCTTCATGGAAATACCACAGCTGGACAATGCCATATATAGTGTTGTTCCTATAGTGAAAAGTAAAAATTGTTCAACTAACTCATAGGTCCAGATTTTTTCAAAGCGATAAAACATACCTCTGTCTTTGTTGTATCATCTTCTCCTCCTCTTGTAAGAGCATTTCCCTCCTTGTTTCTTCAGCTTTACGAAGTAGTTCTTGCTTTTCGTACCAAGCTTCATCTTCAGCTCTTTGTTGGTCCACTTCAGCTTGCATATTCTCAACCGCTTGCCTTCAGTAGATAATATTTATTATTATATAAAAATGTAAACAAGCAAATTGAGTAATTTAAGTCCAAGAACAACCAAAACACAAACTGTGTAACTGATTAATATACTTATTTTACTTCTACATATAAGAATTAAATATCTTTGAAGATATTTCCAGCCTTCAAGTGCTGTTTTACAGATATTTAATAACTTACATGTATTTTTCATTAGACATTTCCTAGTTTATAACCCGTTTTGATTCTGCTGAAGAACTTTTCCATGATTACCTCTCCCTTAAGTAATCCAATTCATCATCCCTAATTCTCGCTCGCTCCTGTGTCTGATAGTCCACAATGAACTTCGGATACTGGTTGAATACTGGATACTGTCCTTTTGTCAGCGCCACAAAAGCGTTGAGCGTGCTCTCTGGATGGATATCAGTAGGCGTGGTGTCCATGAGATGGTAAACTTCTCTAATAACAACACTTATGTCCAGGTTGTTCCGATGGTGAAAAAAGTACTGTAAGAAAACTTTGTGTTTATATTGAGATTTACCCAACAAAAGCAATTACAAAAGGAGTTTGAATTAGAATTAAAAAGGGAGTGTAAAAATGTAAATGTGAATTTATCGTCAAGAGGATTTTTTTTTCAAATAACCTGAAACTTTTCTTCACCCAAGATCCAATTTCATATTTTTGATTTTGTAATTTCAAAAACTTCACAACTATCTTATAAACTTTTGAAATAACACTTTAAAAATTTTTAACTCAAAATGCAGGCTTCCTGTATGATAGAAGAATGCTTCAAGAATGGAATAAATACTTCTACTTGGATTTTTTCCCTTCAAAATCCAAAGCAAATAAATTAAAAAAAAAAATTAGCCGTTGAAAACAAACTCGCTTGAGTTTTAAAAAATATCTGAAATAGTTCAACCTTGTCTTTTTCTGCTGGCAGATCCAAATTCATACAGGGTGGGCAAATGTAGGTTTATAATAGTTCACATGAAAAATATTATAATAGCAAATAATAATGCAAGAACTGTTTCCTGTACCCCCAACTGTAAACCTACTTTTGCTCCACCCTATACACATGACTCCACCACATGTATCTTGTGAGCATAAAGTAAAAATAAAGTTTACTTTGATAGGAACCACACAATAAGCAACAAAAAACCAAACCAAACCCAGTTTAATTCATCCTGTCTATCAAAAGACCGCTCCCTTTGAAAACCATCTCTAATGCTTCCTTTCAGTCACTTTTCTGCCAAGCTTCAATATTCTCCTCGTTACCATTCTGCACGTGTAATAAGCATCCAGATAATCAAAGTCCAGATGGGTCACTATAAGATCATGCACAGAAAAAACCCAATTGTTAAATATCCTTTACATAGGCAAAAAAAGCACAAAACTCCCAGATTATCATGGTTCTTTTCTGAAGCCATGATGTTAAGACTAACAGTCTCTGTAACTGCCTGTTGAATTGCCTGTGAACTATTATTGCTCTCCTCTATATTCCTGCCTCCGGCACCAGTACCTGACATACTACAGGTACTCAATAATGAATGGATTTTTCAATTGAAATAAATGAAATTTGAGAACTGCTCCCTAAGAACAAGGATATTTACCTCAAAATCATCTTTAAGATTACAGCTGAGCAAAGGACCTCTAGAACAAATGTTGTAGGCTGCAACAGTCATCAGGAGGAACGACGGGTGGTTGGAAAAGACGTTATCGAACAACTTTAGCCACTCCTCTCTTGTCAGTACTTCCGAGAACATGGTTTCAAGAAGAGGCCATGCATAGAGCTAAAATGAATAGGAACAAATTTATTAGTTTTCTAGGGAAAAGTCATTGTTAATACTGTCTTATACTTGGTTTAGTTATTAAAATTATTATATTAAAAACATAATTATGAAAAGAACTACCTTAATTTGGACCCTTCTTTATAGACTTTCAGGAAAGCAGTTTAATGAGAAAAAAAGAATGAAATACTGTTAAAAATACAGTAATAGTATGTTTTTTATTATTATAGTCTTTCAAGAAAATACTGTCGTGTTTATGTTGAGAATGAATGTTAGCTTCCAGAACAAGTTACGTTACCCTGCGGACCTGGCATGCCTTACCTGGGAAGTTACATCGTGATCTATGAGGTGCTGCAGCAGTTCCTTGTCGTGAAATGCCAAAACGTTTTCTATCATAGCAAGAATATTGATAGGAGGATTAGGGAAATATTCAAACCAGTGTTGACACCAATTGACTATGAAGAAAAAAATGGAAAATTTATCTTTACCTTTCGATGTTACCAAAGTACTTTGCAATTCTTAAATATATCCACTCTTCATGTCCTCCACATGCCCATTAATAAAGAAAAAAGACCCATAACTCTTTAAATTCTAGAACAATAGATTTAAAAATTCTATCGTGTTAACAAAATATTTCAGGTTAATAGAAATTTGCCAATTTCTTTGGAGCAGTGAGAAACAAACAAGATTTTCCAAAGCATTCCTAATCCTAGCTACAGGGCACTTTGTTGTTGATTTATTTCTTTTCCTTTTAAAATAAAACTTCTGGGGTTACTGGCAGGGCAAACTAATACAACTCTTTTGGAGAGTCGATTAGAAATTTCATATTTTATGGCCTAATAATACCACTTCTGGGAACCCACAAAAAAATTATAAATGTTTGCATGCGAAGATAGTTATAACATTGTTACTTTTAATAGGTAAAAATTAGAAACAACCTAAATGTCCAACAATACATTAAATTAGTACATGCACATTATGGAATATTATAGTCAATAAAATGTTTATAAAATAAGGAAAATGTATATAACACATTAAATAATAGTATGATTATAAAAATAAAAAACAGTCTGAAAGTGTGAAAAAATTTAGGAAAAAAACTCCAGAAATCTAGCAGTTGGGGAATAGGTAAATTATAGTATACCTAAAGATGAAATATAGTATGCAGGCAATAAATTATGTCTTCCAAGAATATTTAATGATTTGGGGGAAATGCTCTGGGGAAGAGGAATATTAGTAAATTTTCTTTTCTTTTGTATGTTTTCCTCTATTTTCTCCAATGATCAGTAAAAATTTATCAAAGAAAATACAATGTAATAAAATGAACAAAAAATATAAAGAGAAATATTCGCAATATGTATGCTTGGAGCTTTTTATTTCTACATTTCAGAATTTTATTGTTGCAATTAAGTGCTTACCCCCTTTCCCCTGTATATAAATAATATGAAAAACACTTTAAGTAATTAAAACATACATGTAAAATTGATTAGTTTTGTTAAAACAAACTATAATTGGAGTCCAGGCTGTTCACTGGTCGACGGATCTGATGTTACTAACGTGAAAAAGAGGGCTCACTTTTCAGTCAGAGGATGACGATGACAAGCAGTAAACGCGACGGATGGAAATAGGGGCTGTGGGGTCTGACGGCCTCGGTCACATCCTTGTTCCGCCACTGACCTCACGTTGGGAACTTACTCTCTCGGAGCCTCTATTTCCTCATGTAGAAAAAGGGGGTCATACCACTGCCTACCCCACAGGGTTGTTGTAAGGGTTAAACGAGTTAATAAAGACGAAACACTAAGTGTGGCGGCAGCCCCGGCACTTGCCTCAGCAGCCACGGTGTGTGAACGCTTCACACACTTACTACAGCCCTGTGGACAGGGACTGCCTTTCAGTAAGTAATGCACCTGCTTCCTTCTGACATACAACATTCAGCCTGTAGCAATACCTTCTAAACGACAACTATTCAGATTTCCTTGTAAGTGAAAGGTTTATGTATAAATGCCTGCACTATCCATTTTATGCTCTATATCTGATTGTTTCACACTACACTGGTTAAACATGGCAAAGGCACACAGACGTCAGGAAAATGTACAAGAACCCACTCTTAGTTTCATTACTTAGTGTTTGTTTACTTACTTATGAGAGTAGCAACAACTTCAAAACAGATGAGTTGGTTGTTCTGGAATAACTTCACAAATGGAAATGCCAGGAGGGGAAGGTACGGTGTTTCAGTAAAGATGGCCGACCAGTGAGCCAGTGCAGACAGGGTTCTGTGAGTAAAACAAGGAAATGAAGACCAGAAAACAGTTTATTATTCAAATTTATTTGAATGGCCTATATAGTCACAGAATAAAAAATTTGATACCTAACGTACAGTTGCTCAAAATTCTCCCTCCTACCCCCATCATCTAGTTCACCTCCCTAGAACCACTGTTGAAGTATAAATCCTTTAAAAAAAATCACAAATGGTGGTATATTATGAACATTGTTCTGCACCTTGCATTTTTCATGGAACAGTATCTTGGAAAGAGCTCCTATCATTATATTTAGAGCTTCTTTATGATTATTTTACAGATACACAAGAAGATACACATTACTTCCTTTAACTTGGCCGTATGGGCACGCAGGTCGTTTCCAATCTTTAATAAACAACACTGCGCATTTTAATGTCCCTTGTACGTACATCATTCTTCATGTGGGAACAGAGCCGGATAAAGTCCTAGAAGTGGAAGTGCCAAGTCAAAGGGCACACATGTTAATAATTTCTACAGCCACTGCCAAGCCATTTTCCTCAAGGGTCCCCTTTCCCTCCCATGAGCAGGCACAGAGATGCCAATGTTCTGACTCTTGTCAACATATCTGGTTATCGGCCTTCCTTTTGGATCTTTAATTTATGTGAGAAATGGTATTTCAATATTGTTTTCAAATATATTTTCCAAGATGGTTTAAATTGACGTTTCTTTTATAATGAAGGAGGTCAGGCATCTTTTCATGTTTAAAAACCACTTCTGCTTCTATGAACTATGTATTCAATCCTTTTTCCACTTTTTCTAAGTTGGTCCTTTTCACACTTATTTATGGTAACAATCAAATATTAAAGAAATCAGTCTGTTATTTGCCATGTTCTACATATTATTTTCTCAGTTTTACAAAAGTTTTTGCATTGGGAATTATTTTACATGGGATATTTTCCCAATTTAATTATTAATTTATTTATTAAGATTTTTATTCATATCCGGATATGTCATGCCTTAGTAAGGAATTCTAATTCTCGCACATTTACTTCTAATGCTTTAAAGGTTTCCTTTTAACTTTTTGTTTTGAAATAGTTTTAGGCTTATAAAGAGCTGCAAAAATAGTAGGGTTCCTCTCTATCTTTCACTCAAATTAATGTTAATATCTTGTATTAATATAGTACAATTATCAAGACTAAGGAATTAACATTGGTACAGTGCTATTAACTGAATTTCAGACTTTATTTGGATTTTACCATTTTTTCCATTAATGTCATTTTTTCATTTCACCAACCCAGGATGCAACACTGCATTTATTTGTTACCATCATCTAAGCTTCCTCCCATGTGAGAGTTCCTCAGTCTCTTCTCTCTTATGACTCTAACCTTTTTGAGGACTACCAGATAGTTATTTTGTAGATTGTGGCTCAAATTTGGTTTGTCTGATGTTTTCTCAGGATTTGACTGTGGTTATACATTTTTGGCAAGAATACCATAAAAGTAACGTGCAACATACTGATAGGTTTTATCACTGGTGATTTTAAATTTGAGTACGTGGCTAAGATAATGTCTGCTGAGCTTCTGTGCTATAAAATTACTCTTTTCCCATTCGTATACGATAACCGTTTTGGAGAAGACACGCGTGGCTGCGATGCACTGCACTTACCTCTGCAGCACTCTGAGTAGTTTCCGACTTTTGATGGGGTATTTCTCCTGAAGGTTGAGAAATGCCGTGTGGATACCTTTATCTATCAGGCTACTAAACGCAGTATGATTTTCAGGCAGCTGTAGCAGAGAGCGCCAGATGAACATTCTGAAATGAAAGTTTAATTTTACCCAAGAGATATTTGGGGAGTAAAACCAATTTAACGTGAAAGAATTTCAATTTTACCTGTATTTTGTTGGATATTCACCATAGCCTTTTAATAAGGTTTGTAAACGCTTTTTGTTCAATCCACCTGATAATTCATTCTATAAAGAAAAAATATCAATAAATGACATAACCATAAAACTAAAAGGTAAACTAGTCCATAGTGACTTTATAACACAACACAGAGAAATATTTTCACATTATCAGACTCTCTCTCCACACACACACACACACACACACACACACACACACACAGAGTATCTCTCTCCCTCTCCCATCCCACCCCTCAAAGAATTACTCAAAGGTAACTTGTATCTTTGTCTTTCTTATGGAGTTTTTAAAATGAATACTTGGGTATTCATATACTTTGTAAATCAAATTGATATCCAAGTATATAGTTCTTGTAGCTTGATTTTTTATGTTTAACATACTATAATTATTTTCCTTTCCTCCTGAATATTCTTATCTTTCTAGTGTATAGCTCTAATATATATATATATATATATATATATATATATATATGATTAGTTACCTACTATTGAACATTTGGTTGTTTCTAAGTTTTTCTTGAATGAATCGCTCCCCCCGCCCCCACGTACAAATCATCTCACACAAGGCAAAAAGATGAGTTGGTACATTCTTTTTGAAGAACAATTTGGCTATTACTATCAAAATTTTTATACATAAACTCTGACTTAACATCTACAAATTCGTGCAAATGTTCAAAGATAATTGTACAAGGATATCCACTGAATCACAGATTGTATTAACAGAAGAGTGACAGTACAACTTACATGCTAGTCAGCATAGCACTAGTTAGATAAATAAAAGTATATCCATAAATGCAATACTACACAAATATTTTTTAAATGTTGTAGCACTGTATGCAACAATATAAAGATATTCAATCTGTTAAGTGATAAAACCAAGTTACAGAACAGTGCTAACCTATGATTACATTGAACCAAAAAAAAGGTAATATATGCAGATATGCATATGTTTATACATGCACAGAAAACTCCAGAAAGGGTAGCAACAACTATTAACAATGGATGACCCCTGGGGAAGGAGATGAAGGCCGGACTAGGGAACAGGGATGAAGAAAAGTGTGCTTTTATTTTTTCCTTTATAGTCTTCCATACCATCACTGCCTCATGGACAAGCATGCCACACATGTCATCTCAAATTTTCTATGAACCACATTTAAAAAGTAGGAAGAAGGTAAAATTAAGTTTAATAATATATATTATTTAATGCAATGTAATCCAAATATTATCATTTTAACATATAATCAACACAAAACGATTGATTATTACGGTATTCCACATTGCTTTGCTCACACTAAGTTTTCAGGGCCGGATGCGTACTTCACACGTGCAGTGCGTCCCCGTACCGACCGGCCACGCCTGACGTATTCATCAGCCACATGTGGCCACGGGCGAGCACACTGGAGGGTGCAACTCTATCCTGTCTGACTTTTTAAAATACCGTAAGTATGTATTCATTTTATGTTAAAAAGTTTAAAAGCCTATGACAGTTTCAGTGACAACTTTCTTCCCTTCATACGACTTTCTTTTACTCCCTAGGAGAGGGAAGTGTGACGACGGCTAGAAAGCACAAGACTTGTCCACGGCGGAGTCGGGACAAACAGCAGTTTAATTGTGATAGTCTTACCTCTTTGTTTTCAAAACTGCCAGTCAGGTCTTGTTTTAATATTCTCATTTGTATTTTGTTTTCCCTTGACTTTGCTGGCCGCTGTACTCTTCCTGATGTTACTTTCATCTTAAGATCACCAGAAGTCAGTTTACTTTTAGGCAAATCTTCAATTACTTTCACTAACGGAGGAGGTGGCTAAAGGGAAAAAAAAAATCCAGTAGCTCTTTGGAAAATAGACCCAATAACATATGACTTAAAAAAATTTTTAAAAACGATTTTATTTATTTGTTTATAGAGAGAAGGGAAGGAAGAGAGAGAGAGAGAAACATCAATGTGTGGTTGCCTCTCGCGGGCCCCCTACTGGGGACCTGGCCCACAACCCAGGCATGTGCCCTGACTGGGAATCAAACCAGCGACCCGTTGGTTCGCAGGCCAGCACTCAATCCACTGAGCCACACCAGCCAGGGCTGATTAACAAAATTTGTTTTGATCTATTAAATAATGTACCTTAATATACATAATTATTTTTCAAGCAAAAATAAAATATCAAAGAATGTTTCCTCAGTGACTAGCAAATCAAAGCCAATTTCTGCCAAGTTCCTTTGAAGAACACAATAAAGATACACAACAACAACGAATGGAATTATTCCATGACAGCTGGCCTTACACCACAGACCACAGTCCTTTCTGTGCTTGGTGGCATTTTTCAATCTGCACAGAGATGGCTATTAGTCCCTTACTGCATCACAGGCTTAAGGGACAGTTCAGACAGCACAGCTTAGATGCCAACCCTCACTTTAGTGGAGCCTATAAGACAAAAAAAATAAACCCCAGTACTCCAGTTTACTTAGGGTAAAATGACTCACTGAAACATTTTCTCCACGAATACCACACGCTTTGAGATCAAAAGATCTTTGTTCAAAGGAAATGAGTAGATAAGATATCTCAGGCTTTCTGAGTTCTAAATATGATTAAAATACAATGACTTTCACGGGTCTTTCAGTGTTTGAGACCATCATTGCTGACGGTTCCCATAGTGATTAGCCCAGACCCAAATCAAGAGAAGGTGAATATGTGATTTAAAACCGGTTTTGCGCCCTGGCTGGCGTGGCTCCATGGGTTGGGTGCTGTCCCACAGAGCAAAAGGTCCCGTTCGATTCCCTGTCAGGGCACACGCCTGTGTTGTGGGTTTGGTCCCTGGTTGGGAGGTATACGAGAGGCAACCAATCAATGTTTCTCACACTGATGTTTCTCTCCCTCTCTTCCTCTATCTCTAAAAATAAAACCTTTAAAAATAAAAAATCTTCTTTGAAACCAAAGTGGTAATTCCTTTTGTATGAGAATAAGAACACAAGGCATAACCCATATGTCCAAATGAGCACATCAGATTTCAGAAAAACACCTATTACACACATTGCCTTGAATTCAAACTGTTGTGGAATCCAGAAGGGTGTTTTTCCATGATGCATAATGAAAATAAGTCACCACTCTTCAGGAAAACTCTTTGAGCAGAAACCAAAGTTTTCTGACCTCCTCCCCTTTCACCCCCAAAAGAAATAAATAGAACAAAGCAAATACCTTGACTCTTAAAAAAAAAAAAAGAGAGACTACTAAAAGGCTGCTTTGAGACTTCAAAGATTTTCCCATGCTGGCTTCACAGGTTCAGGACTTCTGCTTTTGAAACTTGCAGTCTACTGACTGCAGGAGACCAAAAAGCTATTCCCTATGGCCAACTGCAGTGTATATGAATACCTAACACTGTGAAAAGTGTAGAGTAGGTAATGTGATAATATGCATGGCATAGATGTTACATTTGTTCTAAAATTGTGAAAGTATTTAAAGTTTTAACTTTATCTATAAGGTTTTAAAGTGGTGTTCTAGGATACATTGTTATTTACTCATATCAAGAAAGGTTACAAGGATAATGCAAAATACAACAGTGACAACTCTGCCCAGAAAAAGCACAATGACCACTTATTCAATGATTTGATTTTCCAGTTATTTATTCAATATAGTCAACAGTGGTCTGTCTTCTGAATATTGCCCGTCTTTAGTATCCTTGAACTGTCTTCTCTCTAACCTCAATCTAGTCTTCCAAACCTTTATTAAATTTCTGTTCAAGTGTCACATCTTTTCCTGCTCGAACCCATGCTCTTTCAAGAAATACAATCTCCCAAAAGTTAGAGCCGGAGATGGGACCTGCAGTCACACCTCAGGAGTGTCAAAACCTGAACTCGTAAGTGGGAACTGCTTCCTTCCTTAGCATGATACCAGAAATTCTCCAGGGGCAAGAAAAGAGGACTTGGGAATGGGATCCAGGCGAGTGAAGTTTTATAGACAATATGGTCCTGGGTATTTGTGTAGGCGTGGAATAGCCATAAACACATTGGTGGTGCTGGTAACGTGTCCAAACAAGAGAGAAAAGATTATCCAACTTCTGACATAAGCCAGCTTTTCTGTCCATAGGACCTCAGTTTGCCCAATAAATTGAGAGGAAGGAGGGAGGAAGCCAATAACTCCTATCTTCGTCTTTCTCAGATCTTGCTCTGCTTCTATTGATAACATTTTCGTAGCTCTTGTAAAATTCAGATAGGCTGAAAACTCTTTCATTAAGAGCAAATAATTAAAAAGTTTAAAGTTCACAGAAACAGTAGAGTGTGATTCCATATGCTTGAAGAAAACGTATGCGCCCACACCCAGCAGATTCTCATCATTCGCAGTAGTTAGTTCTGTAAAATTCCCATGAACACTGAGTTCATGAATCCTGAATTGCTGCTCCTAAGGAAATTACACAGTTAGGTCCTTGTGAGCCTCTCTGGTCACATTTTCGCCAACCAATCAGAATATAACCTTGCTTTGTGTGCATTTCGGTTTAAAAATGCTTATTTACTTGGGCCAACAGTATCATAGCTTGCACCTGAACAAAGTTTATCTGTCATCGCCTCCCTGTGCCTAGGAACACTGGACAGCACTCAGCACTGTGCTTATCAATTGGCCGTCTGGAAGATCAGCATCACCAAACACAGCAGGAAAAGGTGAAAAACGTGGCAGCAGACAGCCCACGAGAAGGATAGTGTTTACAGTATGGGCTGAAACACGGCACTGTCGTCTCGTTTGACCTCAGCTGGGAACCTGCATGTTGGACAACTGAAGTCTTCTGCTGCTGTGCACATGCAAGGACAGACTTTACAGTTACAGACTCATTTTCACAAGTGAGTAGATTCTCAAATACAGACTCTGTGTGAATAATGAGCACGGACTGCATACACTTACGCACACAGGAAAAAGGCTGCGAAAGCATGTTTCATGATCACCTGAGAAGGGTGAGACTGTGAGTCCTTTTTATTTATCTATTTGCTTATCTGTTGCTTTTGATTTTTCTCTGCAATAAGGCACTTATTACTTGTCTAATTAAAAAAAGATGAAAAGGACCAGCAGGAGCAAGCCCAGAGCAAAAAGACTGTATTAGCAGGACACATGGGCTGGATAATGACCAGGCTGGGGTGTGAGCTTCCCCTGCCAAAGGAAACGGTTAGACCAGGTGGTCACCAAAGCCCCTCATAGTGCTGCCCCGGTACAACTCCAGACCCGGGAGGCTGCACCCAGACCATCAGACCTGGCGACAAGCTGGGGAAAATTCTAGATAACCATCAAAAAGGAGCGGGCAATACACTTTAGATAGAATGGGTGATGCAGAGAACAGACGTGGAAACAGAAATGGCATCGGTGGGGACAACGGGGGAAGGAGTCCGGGGAAGCGGGTGAGGCGGGTGGAGGAGACGAGATCAGAGAGGGCCGGAGAGCCCTGCAGAAGGGTCTGCCCTTGCTTCAGTGGGCAACGGGGAGGGGGCCACTAGGGTAGCACTGTTTTAGAAGTGATGATAAATACTGTTCTAGAAAAATGTTAAACGAAAGATGAATCGATGGGCAGTGGCAGGCACCGAGGGCTCCGAGTTTTGTTATATTTGCGTAAGTTGCTGTTATTCAAGAGCAGTTAATGAGGACCAATGCAAAGATGGCTAGTATGGACAGAGGCAGCACATAGATAGTTTTTCCAAATTAAGAAATTACAGGTCTTAGCACTGACTAGATTTAGGAAGAAAAGGAACAGGAACAATCACAGCGCTCCAAGGTTTCTTGAAGGAAAAGTGAGACAGAGACAGAGAGGCTGGTGTTGAAGGCCTCTTTTGGGAAGCAGCAGATTTTGAGGGGCACCTTGAATGGGATATAGGGACACCAGACAGACACCCTTGAGGAAAACAGACATTTAAGAACGGAGGAGAAGTGAGAGATAACAAGTCTGGAGACACGGCTTTGGGAGTAAGAAGAAGAAAAAAAAGCTCAGAAAAATGGATGAGGTCCAAGGAAGTCAGAAGATCATAGCATAAAGAGTTTATTTTTAATGATACATTTAAATCTTTTTAAAAAATTGATGTGCCTGGCTGGCTGGCTCAGTGGATTGAGCACCAGCCTGCAACTGAAAGGTCACTGGTTCGCGTCCAGGTCAGGGCACACGCCTGGGTTGTGGACCAGGTCCCCGGCTGGGGGGCGTGCGAGAGGCAACATCTCTCACGCACTGATGTTTCTCTCCCTCTCATTCTCCCTCCTTCCCCTTCTTTCTAAAAATAAATTGTAAAAAAACTTTTTAAAAAATTGATGTTACTTACTTAATAACATACCTTATTTATTTCTTGTGTTAGAGCCTGAACTGAATAAATATTCAGACTTCCATTTTCCATAATACAGGCAATGTACCGTCCATGTGGGCTAATTACTGATGAGCTAATTCCTTCATCAAGGCTCCCGATTTCAAAGAGAAGTTTACAAGTCTGTATATTGATAAATCTCATGATACCATCTTGACTTAGAACTCCAAGAACCTAAGAGTAGAGAGAAACAAATTGAAAAGTCAAATGTCTGAAAGTCAATCCACACACACATATACACAAGTGTGTATGAGTGTGTATTTATTTATGCATTTCTTTGAGGGAAGGACCGTCAAAGGAGGTTCTATTCACAGAGAAGCATTATGTATTTTCAAATCCGTCCTTTGGGCTCATGGAGATTCACCTGCTCAGGTCAGAGAAGCCTGGCTTTACCCGGAACAAGCAAGGGGCTCATGGTGGGGACTGTGGAAAGGCCACCTCAGAGCCTTCCCTTCTTCCCACAGGCTGACCATCTCCACCGATATCTACAAAGGGGATGCAGATGAGGAGATTGTTCTTAACCTTGACCTCCACGCCGGCTGTCAGATGCAAGGCTGGTGGGTGCGTGTATCCCTCTGCTGCCCCCACTGTCTGCTCAGAGCTCACATCCCTCCTGCTGCTCCCACGCAAACCCGTGACTCTGTGAGGCTCCTCCCACTCATTCCCACGTCTGCCTGCTTTGGGCTCTTGTAACTAACATTTGGGGGGCGGAGAAAGTCTCAGCCGCAAGGAGAGTAGAGAGTCAAAGGGAAGCTAGTCTTAAGGCGAAATCAATTTTTAACTCATATTTGGCAAAATTAAAAACATACTAAAAAAGATTAAGCAACCACACCCCTCTGTTGCCTTATGTGTGTACAGACAGTTCCTTTCCCAAAGGCAGTGGCTGTAAGCGCTACCCTCTGATTCCTGGAACTGCTGACGTCACTTGGTATATGAAAGGCTATGGTTTGGAGGTCGTTTGGCGGTGACAATCTGAAAAGCAGGTCCAATCCTGTTGGTCTGGGTGTAGGAAACACCCCGGTTCACAGTTGACGCAACCTCTCCGGGGGCCACGCGGGCATACAGAACACGTAGCCCCTGTGCCGCCACTTAAATTCGGGGATTTTTATCCCACAGATAAGCTGTGAAATGTTGTCTGCAAAAAGGTACTCAGTGCAGCGTCACCAGTAAAAGAAATGAACTAAAAACAGGTGAAGTGCCCAATAGTAAAGGACTGGTTAAAAAATTATGGAATGCTATAAAATATGAAGTTCTGCAGTGACAAAGAACTATCTTCCAGGTAAATTAAGCGAAGAAAAGCTAGGGGCACAGCTATATAAAAAGTGAGGAAAACAAAAGCCTATAACATAGGTTATAGCCTTGTGAGCACTGTCTGCATATATTTACGCACATAGAAAAGAGATGGCAGGAGAGTGAATAACTGGGCATTAGCAATGTCAAATCCTTGTAACACTCAGGGAACAACTAAACGAGAGGGCCATTCTAGTTCAGAGATTGATACGATTCCTCTTGGCACGTAGAACGCTCTGCATCCATGTCACTAACCTGATTAGAACCAGCATCAAAGCTATCAGGAAGAAATTCGAGGTGGCGAATGGCTCGAACTTTAGCAGGCATCTGGATGATTCTAAATAACTGTTTAGCTTCTAAGCACCACAAATGAAGATGGTTTGACTTGCCTCCAGCAGCCAGGATTCGACCATCTCTACATAATAAAATGGCGGAAAAAGAATACTAGATAAGTTGTTCATAGCAGCTGTCCAATGTGACACAATATGATGATGGAAATGTTCTGTATCTCCGTTGTGCAATATAGTCACTATGACCCACGTGATTGACACTTAAATGTGGCTAGGGCTTCTAGGGAAATTAATTCTTAGATTTCATTTTTTATTAATTTAAATCACCCCATGCAGCCAGTGACAACCATATGGAATATATGCAAATATTTGTTCGATGACTTGGGTTTCTGAGTAACAGTTAGATTTTGTAACTGTTACCACTATCCCACTTTCTATACTTCACTTATGACTACACTGAATTGGTACAGCATTGCTCTATGAAAAAGCAAAAAGCCCTAACTTTTTTCCTGCTCAGAGAAAGCTATGTTGTTTCTCAGGTACAAAAAAGAATCAGCTGTATTGATTTGCAAGGCTGTTGCTCATTCATTCACGAGACTTGTCAAGTGCCCTCTATCAGCCAGGTTTCCTTCCAGGTGCCAGGGACACAGGAGCGAACAAGACATGTAAGACCCCTGCTCTTAAGGGATTTTTCAGTCTAGAGGATGGCAAACAAATAAACAAACTTGGTCTCAGCTGAGCAATTGTATAAAGAACTACGAGATGAGGTGGACATGTGGGGCTGAGGGCGGGGGGGAATGCTGCCACGTGGATGCTGGGAATGGGCCAGCCATGGGGCGGTTAGGGGGAGGACCTCATGCTGGTCAGTGTTGCAGACTGGCCAGAACAAAGCACTGAGAGAGGAGTAAGGTTATTAACAAGGAAGAGTGAGAAGCCAGTCAAATGTGGCGGGAGCGGTGTAAGCGGAAGGAAAGGAGATGAGGGAAGAGAGGGAGGCCTTGGGCCTACGGCGGGGAGTTTTGGACTTTATCCTAGTGCAGGGAAAGCCTTTCAGGGGGCTCACTCGGCCAGTGACGCGATCTGGCTTAAAGATGTAAAAAGGTCTCTCCACCTGCGTTGCAGAGACCGGCTTTGGGAAATGAGACTGAAAATGGGCGCTATTCTTGTAGCCTGAAGGAGACCGGGCTAAGAGCAGCGGCAACGGACAAAAACGTAGACCAATTCCAGGTATGCTTTGGTAGGGGTGATGGGATTTATTGATGGCAGAAGAAAAGGATGAGAGAAAGAGGAAATAACACCTATTCCCTAGCTCTTTCCATGGAAAAGACTTGGAAAACTGACCAACCCAGTGAGTACCCTTAGCATCCAGTTAATGAACCCAGATTCCTTGGAGAAATGGCCGATTCCAGGTTTGGAAGAGAAAATGTACAAGAGCCTGGAACATGCTGCTGGACCATAAGAATCAAAGCCGTCACAGACAACTGGGGTTACAGAAAAGGGCTCGCGGCCAACTTGATGAGCACTGCCCTGGCCAGAAATGAGGGAACTGGAACATCACTAAGAATAACTTAAAAAAACTGATGTTATAATTTGTACATTTAAGGTTTACAGACTGTTAACTTTGGTACATTTATATGTTGTAATATGATTGGTACCAAAGCAATACTTATCACATTACATCATTATAGTACAGTATTATCGACCGTGTTACTCTGTGCGGTAGATGTCTACTTGCTACAAGTTTGTACCCTTAAAGCCCATCAACCAAACCTTCCACCCCCAGCCCCTGATAATCACCATTTACTGTTTTTTTTAACAGGTTTGGCTTTTTTTTTTTTTTAAGATTCATATTGGTGATATCATACAGTGCTTATCTTTTATAATAATAACTTTAATGGATTAAGACATGCTAACTATGTTTAAATCTATGAGTTTACAAAGACTAAAGACAAAAAACTTCAGAGGCCACCTTTGGAAGATACCAATAAACCAATTAATTTAGTTTGAAAAAAAATTTATTCTAAAAAGAAGGGGATATGAAACATTTATCCTACCTTTCTTTTACATACTATAAAGTAACAAAAGAGTCAATGAGAGGAAGTATCTTTCTGTAGGTTTTTAGTTAATAACTAAAGTAACAAGAGTCAATGAGAAGAAGTTTCTATTGAAGCCTTCCAGTTAATGAGGGAAAAAGGAATGGCAGAATTAGAATAATAGCATTTTGCTAACCTCTAATGCAATACTGGACCTAGGTAATGACCACCAATAGTCACTAACATCACAAGAGAAAGAGTTCTATGTTCCTCCTTATGAAAGTACACTCACCACCTATGTCTTCTTGCCCCCAGATCAAATCTGAATCAGATCCCAATTTACAGACAACACAGGCATAACCCAGTTTACAGCAAGTAGAGATGACAGGGGATCATATTCAACAGTACCACAGGGATGCAAAGAGCAGAGCCCAAACCAGGAAATTCTGCGGGACAGCCCTGGCCGGGGCACCTCTGCCGGTTGGGCACTGTCCCGAAAGCAAAAGGGTGCTGGTTTCATTCCCGGTCAGGGCACAGGCCTGGGTTGTGGGGCCCAGTCCCCAGTGGGGGTGTGTGCGAACAGCCACCGATCGATGTCTCTCTCTCACACATCGATGCTTCTCTCCCTTTCTTCCTCCCTTTCCCTCTTTCTAAGAATAAGTAAATAAAATCTTAAAAAAAAAATCTACAGGACAACCAGTTCTTTAACAAATAAAATGCAAGAAAAAATAAAAAGGGGGCTACATCAACCAAGACAATGTGTGAACCTAGTTTCACTCCTGATTTGAAGCAGCCAAAAAACCCCAATTATTAGACAAATCAGGGAAGCTTGAATGACTTGATATATGGCAGTATCATATCAATACCAGTGGGATCATCTTCACTATCAGGAAATGACTAATTTTTTAAAAAAGTGCAATAATAGTACTACGGTTATGTTTCAAAAGTGCCCTTATCCTTTAAAAATACACATTGAAATATTTATGGATGAAAGGATATGCTTGGTCTTTGCTTTAAGACAATGAGAAGGAGTAGGTGGAGTTATAGGTAAAATAAAAGTGCCTGTAAGCTGATGATGATTATAGCTAATGAGAGTATTATAATTAGGACTTCATGTACTTTTATATTTTTGAGTATATTTGAAATTTTTCACAACAAAGTATAACAAGTTCTACAGGCCATATCTAAGTTTGAAGGAAACTTTTCCTCATATGATGAAAAGATACTGAATGAAAATTTGTAAAATTTTACTAGAAGTTAAATTTCTTAAAAATTCTCAGTGCCTTAAAATGTACATTACCTGGTCACAGCAAACACTTTGTATAATATACTAGAGCTTTCGGGTGGAGATGGCAATTGATATTTGCAACAAAGAGTATCACACTCCCAGGCAAAGATGGAATTATCTTTAAAACAGCTGAGGATGGTATTACTTAATGGTAGAAAGAAAACCTGAAGAGTGAGAAAAAAAAGTTATTGTTCATATAAGGATCATATAGCCCTCTTTAAATGTAAAGGTATATAAGTAGCCAATTTTTCTTTTTAAAAATGATTTTTCTTAAACTAGAGAAAAATACATTCACAATATTTGAAAGGAGATAATACTGATATTTCACCTACTATTATAAACTAAAAAGAAACGGTGAACTCCTCTAAATAAAAAAATAGGTGACTATTAACAACTAGGCAATTCATAAAATACAAAGTAACAATTTAAAAATACTTAACCTTATAAAAGATTCAAATAAAAATAACGAGATGCCATTTTATGCTAATCAAATTTACTTAAAAACACACCAATATGTATACACAACTATACATACACTCGCATATGTATTACATTTATAAACTATATACTAACATAAACAGTATATTAAGTACTAATTACCGATAATGTTAAACATAATAAATGGTGCAAGTTTAGGGAAAGGGCGCTGGCATACGCTGCTGTTGGTAGTGAACACTGAGTACAAATATTGTAGAACATATTTCCACAGCCTTAAAAATGTTATCTTTTCTGAACTAGTCAATCTGCTTTTAAGAGTCAATCCTTTGGGGGGGAAAAACCAACAAAATGCTTTAAGATAAATGTATATAAATGTTTGTTGAGCATTACTTATAAAAATTGAAAACAAATACATGATCCTATTTTCCTAGAGATTCAATTTATTGGATGGACAAGTAAAACAGAAATTGACAGCAAGGTTGAAAATATTTTACTATTTCTATTTTTTTAATTATATAAGCACTAAACAATGCTTACTTTTTATAATACTAAATTTTAATTAAAATTGACCAACATTGTCTCATAAGTTTCAATGGCCTCAAATATAATCGTGTGTGTCATCTGTGTAAAACACACAGAAGAGAGGGAAGGAAAAAAGGAAGGAAAAGAAATAAGGAAATAAATGAAAGAAAAGAAACCAGTGCCCTATGGACATAATATTCCTGCCTAGCCTCTCAAAGTAAATCCCCTCAAAGAGCTTGAAACATTTCACAGGGTTTGATCCTTGGTTATATCTCCAGCTACTTATTTTTTGATTCCCATCTAGAAGAGCCTGCTTACCTAGACTATTTATTGTAACACTCTATATTTGCACCTATTTTGTCCTGGTTTCTCCTGGTGTGTCTTTACAAACTTTATTCTTATTTTCTGAGTGTGTGACTGGTTTCTGTGTTGCAAAGAGAGGGCTGGGCCGCAGTGAGGAGGCAGAACACCTTCAGGAACTGGGGGTCCCGCGTTCCGATCCCTGGTTTGTCATGTACCTTCACGATGTTACTAGTGCCAGAAGGAGGCCTGTTTGCTCCTGGAATGCTACATTCTTCGGGAATGAAGTGCTCAGTGTTTTTTAACACGAGACTGGAGTGTCTCTTGAGTACTGGGCATCCGGATTCGGCCAGTACCACAGATATGGGAGCAAGGAGGCCAGAATGACTCCATCCAGGGAGATCAGCACCAAAACCACTGTGACTTTTCCCCGTGTTGCAAAAATAGTGGGTCCATAAGGAACTTACACGAAATACTTCTGCAACCTTGACTCTAATTGGTGTCAGTCAGCCAGCCTATTATATACATACAGTTAAGAAATGATTCTAATAGTTAATGATATGACTATAAAAATTTCAGAGGACTGTCAGCCACAATTTTAACAAAAGTTGCAAGTTGTTATCACAAACTTTACTTTTCTCATACACATGGTGTCTCTTTTTTTCAATAATAAATAGTGTTTAAAAAAAATCCCGGTAATACACACAATCCATAAGGTACTATGGAACATACCGGTTACATTTAAAAAGTCTACTTAGGATTAATATTAATAAGATATAATAAAACATGCTAACTCAGCTACTTCCTTCACCCGATCCAGCCCCTCACTTTTGTCCTTGGCTCACTTTGTCAAAGACAATCTCTGGTAGATTTTTTGCCAAAAGATTCTGGAAGGCATTTATAACATGAAGGTCATATAGAAAGAATTAGCAGCAAATACATTATAATCTATAATGAATGAATTAAAACACGGTTTCAAAACCAATGTCAGAGAAAAGGGGCTTGAGCCCTGGCTGGTATGGCTTGGTGGACTGAGCACTGTCCTGCGAACTGGATGGTCGCTGGTTCAGTTCCCAGCCAGGGCACAGGCCTGGGTTGCAGGCTGGGTACCCAGTTGGGGACGTGCGAGAGGCAACCGATTACACGTCAATGTTTCTCTCCTTCCCTTGCCCTCTCTCTAAAAATAAATAAAATCTTTTTAAAAAAGTGACATAAGATTTTTATTATAATTAGCTGTACTTTTCTGGAAAAGTAATAAAGTTTATTCCTACTGGGAGAAGCAAAAGCTTAACAGCTAATGAGCACCAGCTGCTATTTCGGGGGCCTGGCTGTGGTAGGTAACTGCCTACATGATTATTCATTACCAGGTCTGTGATTTTAATTGCCAGATTTTAATGATTATAAAATTGTTTCTAACGATCATGCTACTATTTAAATAGTGTCAGCTCTTGACAAACATAAAAAGCTTAGAGAAAACTTTAAAAGCACTGACAAAAGCACAAGGAGAGGGCTGTCGTTTTTCCTTATAAAATATGAAAATTCTATGCTTTCCAAATCCAGTTTTGAAAGGTGTATGAGCTCTTTTCAAAGTTTAAAGAGGTCAGGGTAGTAATAAGAACAAGTTAAGGTCAAATGTAAAATTCAGTAGCAATTTTAGTGAGTTCCTACTGTATACAGAGACTGAATTAGGTTCAGTACTATACACTGTGTTAAGTGTTTTCTGAGATCCATCATGAAGTCTTTCCTGATACATACTGAACCACAGTAATCAGAAATTCCAGGATTTACTCCAAAATCCCTAACAAAGAGCTAAATAATCTACCTCTGGGCAGCAATAAAAGAGTAAAACTTTACTAATATGAAGAGGTATAACTAACTTGTTTACTGAGAGGCAGGATGGGATAATGGAATAACTTTGGAGCAGAACAGGTTTGAATCCCAGCTGCAGCTCCTTTATAAGCTTTGTGCCACTGGGCTAGTGGCTTAGTGTTCTTGAACTTCAGTTTCCCCATTTGTTACCAAGAGGATAATGGTATCTCCCTTTTAGGATTATTTAAGCTTAAAAATTATTAATAAAGTATTAGGTACATAGTACTCAACAATTGGTATCTATTACTACTAGCATTAATTACTGCTATTGCTAGGTAAAAAGTATCAGTGGAAAGATGTTGGAGAGGTAGGTTCTTTAAAAACACTTGAAATCAAAGGTCCATAGGGCTTCATCTGAAACCCTCGGGCTCCAGAATTCAGTTACTTCTGATGTGAGGAAGGCAGTATGATGCATATTCCATAATGTTTCGTGGAACCCCTAGGCGACCTGAAGCAACCCCCCCGCCCCCCGTACTCAAACACTAACATTTCAGTCCCATGTCAATTCGGCCCAGACTTTCCCGCTAGACGAATTCAGGTCAGATCAGATTTTGCTACCAAGTGAGTTATTTAATAAATTTTGGCTTTTTGAATTACTAATAAGAAATCGTGCAACTATGTAATGTATTTTAAGAAATAATTACCTTACAGCTTTTTACGATATGTAATTGAAGAGTCCCATAACACAGCTAAGTAAGAGTTAACAATAATAGGTAATAACAACAATAGGAATACTAGCAGCTGCAGCTAACTTTTATTAAGCACTTATTATACAGCAAGCATTGTACTGAGTGCCTTACACAGGTTAGCACATTCAATCATGAAACTCACTGTAAGGTAAGTATTATTACTATTTTCATCTTACACATATTCCTAGTCTACAGGGCACGTGCCTGGGTTGCAGGCCATGTCCTCAGTAGGGGGCGTGCAAGGGGCAACCACATACTGATGTTTCTCTTCCTCTCTCCTTCCTTTCTCCTCTTTAAAAATGAATAAACCAAACCTTTAAAAAAAATAATTTCATTATAGATGCTTGTATAAGTACACTTACAATATTCTCAATTTTGCTCTTGGCTTGCAAAACCAAAAATATTTACTAGCTGGTCTTTTGAGAGAAAGTACGCTGGTAACTGGTAGACTATGCTGCTTCATTTTTCTAAAGATTTTATTTATTTATTTTTTTAGAGAGAGGGGAAGGGAGGGAGAAAGAAAGGGAGAGAGGCATTGATGTGAGAGAGAAACATCTATTGTAGCCCAAATGGGGACTGAACCTGCAAGCTAGGCATGTGCTCTGAGAATGGAACTGGTGACCTTTGGCTTTACAGGCTGACACTCAACCAACTGAGCCACATCTGTCAGGGCTATCCTGCTTTATTTTAGAACAATCTACTTGCACACATACTGCATACAATACATATATTTCTACATTTAATTTTATTCTCATATCACTAACATTTCAATCCTATTTTTTATTTATCTTATTTATTTATTTTTAGACAGAGGGGAAGGGAGGGAGAGAAACATCAGTGTGTGGTTGCCTCTCATTCAGCCCCTACTGGGGACCTGCCCTGCAACCAGGCATGTACCCTGACTGGGAATCGAACCAGTGACCCTTTGGTTCACAGGCCAGCACTCAATCCCTGAGCCACACCAGCCACGGCTTCAGTCCTATTTTTTTAAACTAAAATGTCTTAATGGTCAGAGCAAGGTTAGAATTGGCAACTATCCAGTGTACACTAATTTTAATTTCATGGTAAAAAGAACAGATGGTTTTTGTGTCATTGTTTCATAACTGTTTCCATCGTCGGTTTAACTCCCAGTGCTCTCTTCTTTAGAATTTAAAATTCAATTTAAGTACTAAAGCAATTAAAGAAACAACCTACTAAGACATTTGGCCTAAATCCCCAATGAATAAGCTACAACTTTGGTCTTTTTTTTTTTATTTTTCATTATCAAAGGCACACTAAAGAACTTAGGATTTCCATGGAGACAACAAAATAAATTTTTGGCTGACATGCCTTGCTAACTGCTCATGTTAATAACCAAGAAATTATAAGCAATACTGCACGTATTATATAACCTGTAGTGGAATAATCACATGGGAACTCAGACAATTCTGAGAATACTATTTAGCTAATCAAACAGAAAAATGAAACCTTAAAAAAGCAAAAGGAATGGATTTTTTTAACAAGGTGATATATGTATAAAATATTGATCAGCAATAAAGAGGAACAAACTACTAATACACACAACAAAATGGATAAATCTCAAAAACATTACACTGAATGAAAAAAGCTTTATACATGCCGTTGATGGCTATGTGAAATTTTAGGACGGAACTAATCCCTACTGGAAAAGCTTAGAGTGGTGCTGACCTGGGAGGGTTACCAGGGGCCCTTCTGCGATGATGGTGGTGATAAGTCTGCACAGGTTCCAACGGTGCATGTGGCTGTCAAAACTTAACAAACGAATACTTAAGACCTGTGCATTTCATTGTGTGTGTGCGTGTGTGTGTGTGTGTGTATAAAACATTAAAACATACTGAACCCTAGTCAATGAAAGGTTAACTATTTATTGGCAAGTATGCTGTTATTTGCAATTTACTTTAAAATGTTAAAAAAAAAAAAGACGAATTAGTAAACAGAGGGACAGAAAGATAGATCCATCCTATAGTAAAGGAGAATCTAGTATAGGAAGATGTTAGTGATAGAATCTAGATGGTGTGTGTATGTGTGCTCATTGTGAAATTCTTTCAAATCGGTTGTATGTTTGAAATTTTTCATAACAAAATGTTGGGGGGGATTAAAAACTCAAACAAAACCAATTGGCTAAACAAAAACTATCAACTTGCTAAAGCTGAAGTTATACACTATAATAATAGTTAAAAAAAAAAAAAAAGGAAAAAGCTCAGCGACTTATAAGCTGTAGCCACAGGCAACAGCTTCAATTCTATAGGCTGCGTTCCTCTGCTTGTTGCTGAGTGACGAGACCACTGGTATGTGGGACAAAGTGCATCATTACCCTTAAATCATCTAGAAATCCTGTTGACCAAGAAACTAGCCTGCGAGGCACAATAGATCAAGATGCCCTCTCCCACTGACCTTTTGTATGCCCACAGACTGGAGAATATTCAGCTTTCTTTTTCTCTGAAAGGTATCCAGGTCCCAGAGCTGCGCCGTGTCAGAAGAAGTAGTGATGGCGTATCTCCCTGAGGCATGCACGGAGATCGCAAACACTGATGACTCATGTCCTCTCATCCAGCTAACTAGCTCCTTGGTGACTGTGGTAAAAAGTAAAATCGTTACATGGGCAAAACACCATATATCGTCCAAGAACTAGTTCAGCTGATGGCTAGGGATTATGAGGCACCTGCATTAACACCTACAGTAATGGAAGCCTGTGTCTAGTTATGAATTGCACTAGGGGACAGGTTAGTAATGTGTGTGGATCATGGAGATGTGAGGAGATGAGGCCGAACAAGGGCCTACGAACAGCCTTTGGCATGTGCAAGGGAGCCTGGGCTCTCTCTTGTGAGGAATACTCTCATTTCGGAGGGCACCACATCTGGCCAGTGTTTTAGGAAGAGTATTTTGAGATATAATGTGGATCTACTGGAAAGAGGGAAGAGATTAGACAAGATGACTAGTTTATCTATTGCTGTAACACCCCAGGAAGGGGACAAGGAGGGTCTAAATTAAGGATGTGGCAATTCAGAAAGAACAAATTCAAGATACATGAAGGAGAAAAATAAAAGGCCTTTGTGATCAAATGGATGTGTGGAGATAAAAGAGGAGTTAAGACTCCAGAGGTCCTGGTTTAGCTATGTAAACAGGTGGTGATATCATTAATTAACATGAGAAATACATGAGGAGGAACAGGTTTAGCAGTGTGGGAAGAATGAGATAATTAATTTGATTTTTAAAATGGATTCTGAGGTACATGTGTGTGCATGCATGTGTGTGTTTGACATACAAGCAGAGAAAACAGCATGGTTAGGAAAAATACCAAAAACTATTCATGATAATTATCCCTGGGTAATAAAATCATGAGTAACCTTTATTTTCTCTTTATATTTTCTGTGTTTCCAAGTTTGCTATGGTAGGCATATTTTAATCAGATTTTTTTTCCTCCAGAAAGATGGACTTGAGGAAAACAGAAAGCAAGATGTAAGTCTGGGAAACATTAAGATACAAAGTAGGTCAAAACTAAAGACAGTGGAACAGATAAACCCTTAGGGAGAGAGCAGTGGTTTCCAAACACCAGTCTTAAAAGTCTGGCATTAGTTAATGGTGAATTTTCCACTGGTGTTCAGTAAAGTGAGAAAAATAATAATGAGTTTTTTCATAAAGCTACATTTAAAGTACTATTTTATACTCTAGTATTATATCCTTCCAAGTTTCTTTATGTTAAAAAAAATCCCTTGTTTTATGAAGTTATGTTTTTTCCAAAGTCAATTAGAAAAATAAAAGTTGACAACCTAAGTGGGATCTTCTACTTTTCTTTTTAACTGGGTCAAAAATCAAAAAGCCTAGGAACCATGTAAAAGAAGCAGGAGAGAAACCACTGTAGAGGCTGCCAGAAAGGCAGGAGGAGAACTGAGAGAGAGAACAGTATGAAAACTAAGAGTATTAAACTTGTCCACAGTGTTGAATGCTACTGAGAAATAGAATGAAAGTACAAAAAGGGTTTACGCAATCAGAAGTTGCTCCTGACCTTGGAGACAGAAGCGTCAGTAGCATGGAGTAGGGGGAGCAAGGGTCAGAATTCATCGATGGAAGCTGCGAAGATGCAGGATTTGGCAGTGAGGACGAAGGTAGTTGGGGAGGTAGAGACAACATCTCAGGAAGGGACTTCATGGGGGGTGGGCGTTGTCCATAACACACAAGAGACTGTAAAAAGATGGAACTAAGAAAGAAGAACAGAGTGGAATCCAAGGAAAGCAGTCACTGATGAACATAAAGACAGTTTTTCAGAACTTCTGTGACAGCAGTGTTTGTAATACCAAAAACTGGGAGCAGGCGAAAGCCCATCAATAGGAAATAGGTTAAATAATTCTGGTAGAGTAGACTATTCAGTGATGAGGTTAAATATACTGTATGAGTTTTTGAGGGAAAAAAATGATTGCACAAAACAAGATAGATAGAATGATGCTATGTTTGTTAGAATATAAAGAAGGCATGTGCAGGAAAGCAGGCGGGAAAGACAGGTCTCTGTTATGAAAAACCCCTGACTGAAGAACGACTGCTTCCCTCTGGCACGCACAGTCAGGACTAAGAGCAGGGGCTCTCCAGCTGGACTGCCAGCCTGGGAATCCTGGTTCCTCCGCTTAGAAACTGCGGCGCCTGGGTCAAGTTACTTCTTTGCCTCAGTTTTCTCATCTGAAAAATGGGGATAATAAGTATCCATGTTTGTGGGTTACCGTATTTCACCATGTATAATGCACATTTTGCCCAAATTTTCGAGGGCAAAATAAGGATGCACATTATACATGGGTAGTACTAATTTGTTGCTGGTACACAAAATTTCTTGTGCCTTGTATCTATTCTTGTGTTTTGTAATTATTTGTTACATAAAATTCCTTATACTAGAATATGTTCAAAAATAAATGCAGATTCCTTTATAATATAAAAAACAAATATCTAAATATAAATTTTAAAAACTGAATTAAAAAATTAAATCAAAAGATTTTTTTTCCTGAAAAAAAAAAAACATGGGTGCACATTATACATGGGAGCACATTATACACGGCAAAGTATGGTATTATGATGATTGTAATTAATTAACATGTATAAGGTCATAGAACAGAATCTGGCAAAGAGTAAACACTACAAGTGTTAGCTGTCACTATTATTACTGTTTTTATGGTTTATATATTTTTTTCCTAAATATTATAACACATCAATTTCTTTAATAACAAGAGAAAAACAATACAGTTGAGATCTTTTTTCTTAATAAGAGTAAGAGGTTCAGTTTATAAAACTCTACACTCTATAAAAAATATATTGTATAAAATACAATAGGTTATGTTTAAAAAGTATTATTCTCGGCTTTCAAAGGCATGTATGGTCTTTGTCCAGGCTGTTGGGAGGCAGCCTCTAAATCCCGGGGACATCCCCAGTGATAGGAGGGTGCTTGTTATTTGTGGTGGGTCCATCAGACAACGGCACAGGTTTGTGCCAAGGAGAGAACCTCAGAGTAGGGGCCGGCCATGCCAGAAAGACCAACGGAGTGAGTGATTAGGTTGGGGCTTTGGGCCACTTGACATCAGCCTGACCTCCACAGAGAGGAGGGAAGGATGGAGGCTGTGTTCAGACAGGCAGGCAATGAGGCAATCAATCGTGCCCACACAATGAAGCCCCAGTAAAAACTCTGGACAACAAAGCTTGGGTGGATTTCTTCATCTGGCGATGCTCCGTTAGGACGGCCATACACTGACTGATGCGTCCCTGAGGGCGATGGACCCTTCTCAAATTCTCCTCTATGTCTCTCTTCCTTTGGCGGGTTCTAATTTCTACCCTTTTGCTACATTTAAACTACAATAATAAGCATAGTGCTTTCTCAAGTTCTGTGAGTCATCCTAGTGAATTTTCAAACCAGGGGGTGGCTGTGGGGAGCCTTGGATATGCAGCCAGCTGACTGGATGGTAGAATGGCCGTGGGGCCCCTGAACTTGTGGCTGGTGCCTGAAGCGAGGGATGTGTTCTGGGGACTGCTCCCGCAGACAGCACAGACTGTCACACTCCTTGCACTACTTCAGTCTATATTTCACTCTGCTTCAAAAGACAAATAACAGGACTTCTTACCTGTATCAAAACATTTAATAGAATAATCAGCCAGCGCCACAAGGAATTCAGACTTCCTGCGAAGATTAAAGGCCAGAGCTGTGCAGGCTTGTGCTGTTCGCTGAACAAGATTAAACCTATTAAGAGATGATTGCATTAGTATCAGAAATCCTTCCAATAACCATAAATTTTATGTTGGAGGAGTCCTTAGGGATGAAGAAAATGAAACCCAGAAAAATGAGTTCCCATTTTGGTAAGCCAAAAATAGATTATAAAGAGCACTAACTGCCATGTAAAGGAGTTTGGATCTCTCACACAAAATGGGAAGCCAGCAGAATTACAATCAGTCACGTCTTTCAGGAAGATGATGTAGCAACGATCGCACATGGAGAGAGGGACAAGGAAGAAGAGACCGCTAAGAAAACTGCTACAGAGAATCTTGACCAGAGTTTTGAGTATGAAAAGAAAAGGATAAACAGGAGAGGTGTCAGGTGTCAAGTGGGGAGAGGCTGAGTGATCCGTCTACCATGGGGTAAAGAGGGGGAAGCCAGGAATTCTTCACGTAGCAAATGAAGACAACATATCTCATAAGGCTCTTGTGATGATTATCTGATATATGATGACTGAGTGAAATATGTATTGAGCTTAGCAGATTCCTTGGTACATAGCTAGTTTAATTTACAAAAAATAAATTTTAGGCTTGGGCAAAAGGCAAACAAGTTTGGGGACAGGAAAAAAACAAGTCTCATTTTAAACATGTTGAATTTAAGGCCCTTGCAAAACATCTAGGACTGAATTGTCCCAAAGAAATACAGTGTGGGCCACATGTATAATTTAAATTTTTCTAGGAGCCACATTAAAAAAATAAAAAGAAACAGGTCAAATTAATCTTAATGATGTATTTTACTTAATTCTATATGTTGAAATAATATTTCAACATTTAATTAAAATATTCGTGAGCTATTTTACCTTCTTTTCTTCATACTAGTTTTAAAAATCCAGACTGTATTGTACACTAATGACACATCTGAATTTGGACCAGTCTCCTTTCGAGGGCTCAGGAACTCTGTGCAGCTGTGGCTGCCACACTGGACACCAACCCAGAAGCTACACAGCGCAGTAGAAGCAGATCTGAGTTAACAGTACTTAGAAGGCAGCTGAATGAAGCCTGAGGCATGGGGGTGATGAGCATATCAAAGAGAACACCTGGAATATGGAAGGAAGTAGGCCAAGGACAGACCCCAAAGTAGCACAACAACTGTGCAGCAGACACTGGAAGAAGCATCAGCAAAACAAGGGAAAAAAATAAACAGAGGCAGAAAAATCGAGAAAACATTGTACCTTGAAGCATAAGGAAAAAAGTAAAGGGAGGAGGGGAAGGTCAAAGTATTTAATAAAAAGGGAACTGAGGAAACCATTGGATTAGCAGTTAGGAACACTTGGAGGAAGCCCAGTGTAGTGGATTTTAGAATCACACAGGCCTGAGTTCAAATCTCACCTCTGCCCAGCTGTAAATATTTATAGAGAGAAAAGGGACAGTGAACAAAATAAGAGAGAGGACCTCATGTCCCGGGGGTGGCTATAGAAGACAGAGATGAGCACTAGAAGAAATTAGGGTCACCTATTTTTACAAATAAAGTGACCGTCTGGTGAACTTACAGCTGTATCTGAGGTCGCAGCTAGAGAGGAGGAGGGGAAGCTTGAAGACTGCAGTGAGAACAAGGGTAGGAAACTGATAAAGGTTTGAAACACTCGGAGGAGAACGGGAGAAGCAGCAATAGCAAAGTGAATGAAGTGCCAAGCATCACTGGCGAAGTTCATTACTGCAGTCAATCAACAGTTATTCTTATTTCATTTAGCAGTGGGAGCAAAGAAGAGATCACTGTATAGATCTAAGACTGGGACTTGGCAGGGCAAGTTAGGCAAGAATAAAAGGGGGTGGAGAATTGTGACCATTACTTTTTTGGTAAAGAGCAGAAACATGACTAACAGATTTCTACCTAGTAAACTACAGGTAAAGTAATTACACATGAACTTTTCTTTTCCTGAGCTTTTTGGGAATGTTACTGAGATCACGTTCCCTACAAATAAGGACATTCTCCTGTATAGTCACAAGACAACCATCAAAAATCAGAAAATTATATTTGATATCACCACCCTCTAATCCTCAGACCCTACTGTCCCAATAATGTCCTTTACAACAAAAGGATCTGCTCAGATTCATCTTGCCTTTACTTGTCACGAGTCTAGTCTCCCTCGGTCCAGGACAAGTTCTTCTGTCTTTCCACAACTTTCATGACCTGGACCCCTGTGAAGATTACGGGCCAGTCTTGTTACACAATGCCCTTAACTGACCTTTATCCGATGAGTCACCCGATTAGATTCAGGTTACCTGTCCTTGGCAGGAATATCACAGACGTGACACTGTTTGCTTTTTCCTGTATCCTCTCAGGTAGCACACAAGTTTCGATTTGTCCCACTACTGGTTAATTTAACTTTAATCATTTGATCAGGTGGTGTTTGCCAGGTTTCTTCACAGTAAAATTAACCGTTTTTCCTCTGTAATTAATATTTTGTAGCGAAGTACTTTCTGACTATGTAAATATCCGTTCTCATTAAACCGTCTGTGGACTCCAGCACAAACGTGTGGATTTCGATTTCATTCAGTGGGTTATGACCCATCACTGCCATTATTCATTTTGATACTCAAATTGTCTACAATCTAGCCAGAGGGAACTCCTTCAAGCTGACATCTACTTCCTTGTGAAACATCCCCATTATTTTTCGCACAATGCCTTATCTGGCTACAAAATGTTCCAGGCGCATCTTGTACTCTCCGTACTTCCATCCTGAAAGTGGCCATTTTTGCTAGAACCCGTGACTTGTTTCAGCGGAGAGTGGTACTTAGAAAAGAAGAGCTGGGCACTGAGTATGTCCATTGCTGAGGGAGAGAGGGTGCTGTTGCTCCCAGGTGGACAAAGCTGGGAAACACATGCACCCATAACTCATTCACTCGCTCATACACACACCTTTATTTATTTCTATGTCTGTCTACAAATACGCAGTCCAGTACCACAGGCTCATTCCAATTTCCTCACTTTCCGCATCTGTAAGTCCCCTTTCCAACAGTTAGAAACCCGGTCCCCATGATCCTCAATATATTTACTCATTTGATCCAAGCCTCCCCCCGTTCCCATCCCCCACCCTACGCCCGCCTTTCTCATAATTGCCCCGTCTCCCACTCAGATACCTTTTGACTCTCTGGCTGGGGGGATCCAGGCCACCATCACACCTACCCCCCCTGCACAAATGCCTACTGTGATCAGTCTCACTAAACTAAGTTGTTCAGCAGAGAAGAGGAGAAGAGGAAGAGGAATAAGGATTGATTCTTTAAGATTCCTCGATCCAGTATTTTGACAACAATGTACATAGAAATTGTGTTACTTCTAAATTGCCTAATGAAGTACCAGACAGTAAATGACAAATTAGCAATAAAATTTTAAATTTAAGGAAAAGAGAGATACTGTTAAAACCAGAACTTTAATTCTCTAAAAAATAACCATATTGTCTTTCTATCCTTTCCTCTTTTTCTTCCGTCAGCATTTATGACAGTGTTTTACAAGATACCTGAAATATAAGAACTTAATATACCTTTCTGAATGAATAATAACAGGTACAAAAAGTCAGTGAATTAACATTAAATAATGTAGATATCAAAAGTATCACTCACCTATTTCCAGACAAATCAAAAACATAGATATTTCCTTGATGGTCCCCAGCAATTAAGCAATCACCTGAGCTATCAAAAGCCACATTCAAAAACCGCAAAACTTTGGGAAGGTAATCAGAAGTCGAGTGAATGATGTTCACTATAATTCTGTAAAACAAACACACACTTTAAATTCAATGGCAGGCATTACCTGTTATTATGAAAACTACGGCTTCTCTAATTTTGATGGTTTTTGCCTACCCATTCTTCCCTCCTATTGCTGCTCCTCCGAAATCCTACACTGATTTCTGAAAACAGTAGAGAAAGTTATTCATTATCCAAGTAGCTGTTCGTTTATTCACCAAATATCTGACAAGTCACTATACATCTGACACTGAACAAGCCAGGAACTCAGAGTAATTGATAGACATGGGTCCTGCCCTCATGTGAATTTCAGACACATTTAAAAAACAGAGGCAGGTAGGAACAGACTTACAAATTGTGATTATGTGACAGACAAAAACAGGATGTAAGAGAATTCATTTTTGATTTAAACTGTTACATTATGCAATAGACACATGCTAAAAATAATGATATAATTAGTGAAAAGTACTGAGTTTTATATAAATCATAAGCTACCACATGTAAGGAAAAGTTTGATTCAATATTCCAATTTTAAGGTCTCCTACTGCGATTTTGTTTCTGTGATACAGTGTTCCAAAGTGAAAGTGTCCTTGAGTTTTATTTTTAGCTATCTTTGTCTAAAGTTACTTTTTTTGAGGAAGATCAAATATACCTACTGAAAATAAAGCTGTTGTAAAACTTACAGCATAAAGTAACTAACTCCTTAAAATAAGACATGTATGTATATTTGGGTCATTAACCAGAATGACTCATTCTTTACTGCAACAGTAGTTTTCAAATCATGGTAATCTTTATCTTAGTTGACTTTTTGGGAATTTTTTAACTTTGATATTAAAAACACCTATTTTCCACATTATCACTTCATTAAAAAACACTAAACTGAGTTAAGAGTATTAAACATTTTCTTTAGTTTATCTAAACAAGGCTTTTCGGACTCACTGGTTACAACAGCAAAATTCTTATCATGCTCGCTTTTATCTAGTCCCTGACAAAGATTCTTTGCTTGGCCAAACTTTAGTCAGACTCCTGAACCTTCTCCTATGCCCTGTCTGTGCCCTTCCTTGTAAAATCTCATTTTCGCAAGAAGCCTGCTCAGTCAGTTTAATCCGATCTCCCCACTCCCAATACCTGATCATCCTTGGTATGTGATCCTCTTCCCCATCACCCACCTCCCAGAGACATTTTACATCCCTCGTCTGTCTCCAGCAGGAATCGGTTTAGCCAGATTCCTGCCCAGAGGCTTTCTTACTAATTTTCCACCCACTGACCTCCGACCCTGCTCCTTTGCTATAAATTCCCACTTGCCCAGGCTGTATTCGGAATTAAGGCCAGTTCTATACTGAGGTCTCTTTTCCACTATTGCAATAGTCCTGCATAAAATCTGTTTTGACCACTCTACTGTTCAGCTGGGTTTTTTTCCCGGATATCCTCAGAGAGGGGAGGAATAAATGTATTGAAATGACAATAACATCAAAATGTTCCTTGACAATTAAACTCAGAGCAAATGACTTTCCCTTCCAGTCTGTTTTCTATATTTTTAAATGTGTTTGGGTTATAAAATTATATGATCATTGTTTAAAAAAGTATGAAAAATACAGAAAAGCACTAATGTGTAAATAAAATTAATTACACTCCTGCCATCTAGATATAATCACGATGAACAGCAACATTCTGCCCTTCCGAGTTTCCATATAGGTCACTCACACTAATATTTATTTTAGAAAAACTGTCTCCATTGCTCACAGGTTGCCTGACAGAGCTCCTGAGTCCTTAAACACAATAAAAACATTAAATATTTACCAACATGGGGATGCATGAGACACTATTTTAAAGTCTTCACAATACCCTATAACAGCTCTCTCTGGTAGGTATGATTATCCTCACTTAGAGTCTTGGGGATTAACCTGTCCAGGGTCACAAAGCTGGTAAGGGGACATTTACTTCAACTAAAGTACATCTGACTCCACGGTCAGTGCTCATTGCTCTCAACACCATAATGACGGGTTTTAACAAAAAGAAAGCTATGTTTTAGTGAAAGAAACAAATAAGGACATTTACAAATGGACTTGTTTCTTTCATTTTTGGAATCTTACATGCATATCTAGATGTTTTATGACAGCAAAAAAAGAGAATTATTGTGGGCTGGCAATAATGTTCAGAATATTTACAGAACATCAGAAGGGTGGTATTTACATAAACTCCAGATTTGAAAAGAAAAATCCATACTAAAGAATCCCAACCCCAGACAAAAAATGTTCTTCAAGGGAGTTGAAGGGCCAGCAGCACTGTTAGGGGACTGAGAGCAACCAGAGTCCAAACAAGCTGCTCGTACATCAACTAGCACCGAGTCTGGGCAGGCACCGTTGACACTCGGAGTCTGCTGATTTGGCCTGGCTGGTGTGGCTCGGTGGATTGACCATCAGCCTGTGAACAGAAAGGTCATGGATTCTATCCCAGGTCCGGGCACAGGCCTAGGTCACAGGCCAGGTCCCTGGTTGGGGAAGTGCGAAAGGCGACCAATGGCTGTTTCTCTCGTACATGGATGTTTCTCTCCCTCCCTTCCCCTCTCTCTGAAAAAAATAAATAAAATAAAATCTTTAAAAAAAAAATCTGTTGATTTGTATAAGAGCAACCAAAGAATCAACAGAAAAATTAAAAGAACAAGAAATACACTGAAATATGAACTCAAGCGATGAAGCAAAGTCCAGGAAACCCTAGGGAATTAGAAGCAGTAAGATCAACCTGCGTGCAGCAATCGGAACTAAGGCGGCATTGCTTTGGGGCAAAGGCTTCCATTAAAATCAAACGGGACAGGCTGAGCCTCAAACATGACTGTCTGGGAACAGGAAGAAAAGGAGACCTGGGGAGAGAGGGATAAATGAGCAAAGCACGGAGGAATTTTAGGGCAGTGGAAATACTTTCTATGGTATCACAGTGGGGGATATATGTCACTACACATTTGTCCAAACCCATAGAGCGTATACAAAACCCAGAGTGAATCCTCATGTAAACCAGACTTTGGATGACAATGATGTGTCAATGTAGGGTTCCTCCACTGCAACAAATGTACTGCTCTGGTGGGAGATACAGATATTGAGGAGGCTATGCATGTGTGGCAGCAGAGGGTATACAGGAAATCTTTGTACCTCCCTCTATATTTTGCTGTGAACCTAAATTGTCCTTTAAAAAAAAAAGGGCCTACTAAGAAAAAGCAGCAGCAGCAGCAGCAGCGCTGGCCTTACTAGAAGGTGGTCCTGCATTGCACGATGTGAATCCTGCACCGCTACTCCTAAACAAGCTAAAACGAGAACCAGAAGTTTGTTTAATTCCATTACTGTCTCCCTATGCTTAGCACGTTGTAGGTGCTCAACAAGTAGGTGATGAATGCGTGCTTGCCTAAATGCAGACAAGGATCGAAGGATGGACAAATTGCTGCATTTGTAATGGATGGAAATGCACTGCTCTCCTTCCCCCTCATCTTGAGGCCTTTTTCAGCTGCAACAGCTAACCAATATTTAGTGAGCATCTACTATGTGCCAGGAATACTAGGGATGCCATGATGGTTAAGGCAGGCAGAGTCCTGGCACTCGCTAGGAGTGCAAATTCTCCCACGTGTTTCAGAGGACCACCTGTCTCATGCTCCATGCTAAGCCTGGTCAAACCCTGCTCCTGGGCGGAGAAGGGGTGTCCGAGACTCAGGCTACCTGTATTTCCTGAAGTCACCTAAGCCAGGGATCTCGGGCAGATCGGGGCCAGAACCCGAACCTCTACTCGACTCCCTGCATCCCTTCCAGCGATCCTCTCCAACAGCCCTTGGGAAGCCTCTCCAAAGACTCCAGCGCGCCTGTCGCCTGCCGCGTCCACCCCTGTGCACAGCCCGCGCCCTCTCGCAGTGGCCTTTACCCGTCCCGTGTGGCCGGGGATGGCTTGCGGTGCCATATCTTGCCGCTTTCCTTGTTTCCCAGATCTGTGCTCTGCATGTTGAAGCCCGCCGCGGCTGCCACCGCCAGGTGACAACTGTCCAGTGCTTTCCCAGTAGGCCCCGCGCTCCTGCCCGGGAAATTTGACCACCAGTCCGCGAAGGCCTGGGATCTTCCTCCGACTGTACCAACGACGGGCAGGACGCCAACCTTTTTATTTACAACCAATCAGAAGACTGTTTCCTCCCAAACTAGCCGCCCCCCCCCCCCCCCCCCACCAGGTAATCCTTCCCGCTTTGGACGATGGAATCGGCCAACGACCTTTTAGGCTCCGCCCCTTTTCGAGGTCCCCACCCCCACCCAAAGCCTTCTGGGAACCGTAGTTTTCTGCAGGTGGGACGTGGGTGTGAGGGGCAGGCTTGGGAATTCTGCATTGCCGGGTCCTCGCGGAGTTGTAGGCACCCACCGGAGGCAACAAAAGTGATTTTCTCCTCTGGTCCCGGCAGTGCACTCTACATTGCATTTAGGGATCAAGGAGTTGTAAAGACAACAGAGAAGCAAGGACTCAAATACAGAAAATTGAAGTGTTCCTTTTATGGAGCATTTAGGCGCACAAGACCATTTGTAGAGTACACTCTTCTTGCCCTTTTCACCATCCTCACGATTATTTTTTTCAAACGGTAATCTAACAAGAGGCTCCAATATTAGGGTGTCCAGCCCACCCATCATAAACCCGAAAGGCGACGTCATCATCAAGCAGTAGCATTGCTTTCACTTCTTTTTTTAAAATTATATTTCATTGATTATGTTACTACAGGTGTCTCAATTTTTCCCCTTTTACCTCCCTCCACCCAGCGCCCCCCGCGGTCCCCCACGTCCCTCCCACCCCCCGCTTCTGGCAAACTCCTCACCACTGTTCATGTCGATGGGCTCTGCATATAAGTTCTTTGGCTACTCCATTTCCTGTACTGGGGGTGTTTTACACCCCTATGGCTATTCTGTAACAACCTATTTGTACTTTTTAATCCCCTCACCTCTTTACCCATTCCCCAAAACCCCCTCCCATCTGGCAACCATCGAAAGGGCTCTCCAGATCCATGATTCTGTCTCTGTTCTTGTTTGTTTAGCTTGTTTTTTAGATTCAATAGTTGACAGATATGTATTTGTTGCCATTTAATTGCTCTTAGTTTTGAACAATTCTGAGAGACTATAGTTCTGAGAGACCAGACAATTTTAATAATCTATGGAAGAGGAGACAACCACATTCCACATTTTTACTAATCGGATTTGGGATGGTAACGAACAGTGAGTATGAACATTAGCATTACTGTTCAGGAAACATAGGGTGTTAAGCTTATGGGCACCTAACTTGAAACACAGGCTATTTCCCACATTTCTACCTTACACAAGTAACCAAACAATTTTGTTGTTTTTTCTTTTTAAATCAATAACAGAGACAAATCGGGTGAATGGTTTCCTTAACCACTCTGGTTTCACCTGCCTGCAGCTCAGTTTGCACGGCTATTGCAGCTCATGTGACCATCTTATTCAATTTCATATATTTGATAAGGAGGTTTCCATGTTCCAGCTCATCTGGACTCCCACTTCACACTTATTTTTGGATTTAATTGGGCCAAAGCTCAAGGTCAGGCTGGCAACTGTATCCATGCTGCCAACCTTCTTCTCATTACAATCTTCCAATTTATATAACCCAAATAGGTAGACTGTTTACTAGTTTTTTCCTGAATCATTATTTGGTTAATAACTAAAGCATCCTGTACATACAGTTTCAATTTTATTTAGGTGTAATTGACACTCAATAAGCTGCACATACTGAAATTGTATAACAAGTTGTGACATACATATGTCCCTGTGAAACCATCATTGTGATAAAAAAGAACATATCCACCAGCCCCAAGTTTCCTCCTGTGCCTTTGCAATCTCTTCTTATCCCCCCACCCCACCTTGCCCACAGGCAATCACTAATCTGCTTTCTGTCTTTTGGATTAGTTAATATTTTCTAGAAATTTATATAAATGGGTCCTGAATTATGCACTCTTTAACTGGGTCTGGCTCTTTCACTTGGCATAATTTTTTTGAGAGTTGGCTATGTTATTGGACATACCAGTTCATGTGCTTTTTTATTGCTGAGAAGTCTTCCACGGTATTGACATAGCACAATTAATTTATCCATTCACCTGTTGATGAACATTGGGATTATTTCCAGTTTTGCGCTATTACAAAGAAAGCTGTTAGGAACATTTCTGTACAAATCCTTGTATGAACATATGTTTTCATTTCTCTTGGGTAAATTTTTAGAAGGGGAACAGCTGGGCCATATGGTAGGTGTATGGATTAACTTTTTAAGAAACTGTTTTCAAACTAGTTGCGCCAATTTATGTGCCACCACCAGTATAGGAGAGTTCCAGGTGCTCCACAACCATGATGAGTCTTTGTACAATAGTTATAGCCATTCCGGGAGTGTTGTGGTACCTCACGGTGATTCTAATGTGCATTTCTAGAATGACAAATAATGTTCAGCATATTTTCATGTACAAGTCCTTGTATGAACATATGTTTTTTTAATTTGCCTTCTTTTTTTTTGCCTTTTTGCCTTTTGCATTTATCCTTGGTAAAGTGTCTGTTCAAATTTTTTTGTCCGATTTTTAAATAGGCTGTTTTCTTATTATTACACTTGATCTTAGCCAAAAGGCTGAGAAGCGATGTTGTTTTCTTATTATTGAGTTTTGAGAGTTCTTTATATATTCTGAAAATAAGCCCTTTATCAAATATTATATATTCTTTACAAATATTTTCTCTCCGTCTGTGACTTGTTTTTTCATTCTTAACAGTGTCATTGGATGAACAGAAGATACTAATGCTGATGAAGATAAAGCTGTCATTTTCTTTTATGGACTGTGTTTTTGGTATCATATCTAAGTAACCTTTAACCTAACCCAAGGTCACAAAGATTTCCTCCTTTATTTCTTTATATGTATTTCAAATACATTCTCAGAGGAATGGAAAGCTGTGTGTGTCCAAGGAATTTGGGGGGTTTTGTTTTGCAAAGGTCTTTCTCCTTGTCCTCTCACCATTGAAGGATGCCTTCCCTCTTATGGTGACAATACATAATCTGGAGAGATAGGAAGCACTTGGCTTTGTTCACCATGCTAGAGGGAACTCAGTGGACATTTGGATTGCTCACTATCTGGCAACACCCTTTCTGTTTGGCGAAGATCCTAAAATATCTGGAAGGCAAAGGGCTGTCATTCTCTTTCCTAATTCCTTGGCAATCTGCTCAATAATGCCCCCCCACCCCCCAAAACTAGGCCAGTCCAGGGATAAGCAAGCCAATTAAACTAGTACAATGACCAAAACAACTAAAAAACAATTCAAATATTTACTCCAATCTCTCAAAGAGCGCTAAATGGAAAGCAATTAATAACCTGTAGTAAACTTCTTTAAAAAGCCATTGCCACCTAATTCAATCAGGTTAGACTAAGTTATGCCAAAATAAGTAACAATTCCAAAACCTCAGTGGCTTAAGACAACTCCTTATGGCTGAGTATTTAGCTCATCTTAGTCTCCAGGGGACCCAGGCGGTTGGAGCAGCCACTATTTCGAAAGCTTTGGGTTGCTGCGTCAGGTGGACATGCTCTTTCTGGGAAAGGCCCCCAGCTCACCACTTACTGGTCGTATGATTAACTCAGGGGATGGGCCTGACTTAGTGGAGCCAATCAGAACTCCTTCCTGGGATTTTTAAGTGTGAGACCAAGGAGGGCAAGTCTCAGACCCTCTCTGATAGCAAAGGTTGGGATCTGCTGGGAGCAGTAGCTCCAACTCTGTGGTGAGGGCTGGTTTGAGAAAGAGTAGTTGAAGCTGAGAAAAGCAGAAAAAAAGAGATAAGAGAACATTCTAACAGCATTTATGTCCCTTGTTCTTATTGTCCCAGAAGCTCATCTGGCCTCCTGTCCTTCCTGTCCTCCAGTTAGATGAGCTAAAAACATTGTCTTTTATTACTAAAACAGATGGAATTGGAAGAAGGGAGGGCTCAGGGAAAGCTTTAAGAGGTGGTGATACATGAACTGAGTCTGGAAGGATGAACAGGGATTACATTATCAGAGGAAAAGGTAGGGAATGTGGGGGGTGGAGTAGGGTTGTGAAACAGCATGGAAACTTCTAGAAACTAGTGGTGTGCAGTGTGCAGAAAGCACAGGGGGTCATTATCATGTGAAGTGCTGAGCACCTAGAAAACCTCAATAGTAATAACATTATCATTACTACACAGGTGAATGGCAGGAGAACCAGAGTAACACATATTAAAAGCCAGACTATAAAAGATCGGGTCTGCCCTTCTAAGGAGTTTGTTTCTTATCCTGAAAGGTTCTAGGGAAATTCGAGGTTTCTAGACACATCATTCTGAGTACAGTAGAAAGATCACTTAAAAGAGATTAAGGTTTGCCCTGGCCGGTGTGGCTCAGTGGATTGAGTGCCGGCCTGTGAACCAAAAGGGTCCCTGATTCGATTCCCAGTCATGGCACTTGCCCGGGTTTCCGGCCAGGCCCTCAGTGGGGGGTGAGGGGGAGGGGAGGTGCACGAGAGACAACCACACATTGATGTTTCTCTCCCTCTCTTTTTCCCTCCCTTCCCCTCTCTCTAAAAATAAATAAATAAAATCTTAAAAGAAAAATAAAAAGAGCTTGAGGTTTGAAGCAGAAAGAGAGCAGAGAGCTCTTCCACTTGAGACAAAAAGAAATGAAGGGTTTGGACAACCCTTTATCCAAACAGGCAACTGTTAGATGACCAGGGTGTGTTAACATTGTTTAGGAAAGCTGACATTGCGCAGTTAAGAGTTCTGTTTTATCAGTAAAACCAAAATGGGTGTCAGGCTGCCAACTGATGAAACTTAGGCGACATTTTCCATTTCCAAGACCAGACAGATGACTCAGCTATCTGGTCTCGGAAGGAGGGGTTAGGAGGCAGAAGCCATTACAGGTGAGCTATGACAGTGCATCTCCCCCACCCTTCTAATATGGGTCAGGGCAGAAGAGGAAAATCTAAGGGATGGGATCCCAGTGGCTTAAATAAATATTCACACCTAGATGTTCTCATAAAACATGCATGAAGCCAACCACAGGGAGTGTTTCATGTATAATCAAAATGATGTGGCACCTACAGCTGAAATGG